CAATGAAAAAAAATCACAATGACATTGTTCTAGATCTTAATAAAGAGTTAGTTATTATTAATATAATAGGGGACGCTGATCCCTACTCGCTTAGCTCACCAATACCCACAGTTGCTGCAATCGTTTTTTGTTTCGAAACGATGAGCAGATTGTTATATGTTTAATAACCATTAAATATTCAATTTAACGGTTACAAACTATTTTATTGTATCAATGCTAACATGGATGCACTGATTTATTTTCCAAAACTTTAAACCTGATCGTTTTCGTTGGTTACTATTGCAACTTCATCTACTTTTTTTTTTATTTTCTTCAATATTCTTATTTAATTTTTGCTATTTAAGAAAACTCTTCAAATATTTTTCGCTATGGAGACAAATTAGCAATAATGCAAAAAGTTTTCTTAATAATGTTTGACAATTTTGTATTTTATTTTAATTGCACTTGTTAAATGGGCACAGATTCTCCTAAAGCCTGCGATAAAAATAAATATCACTTATGTAGAGTAAACCATTAATTAATTTAGATGCCAATATGTATCTCAGCCGTGATGGCTAATGGGATAGAGCGTTCGCTTTCCAATGAGAGGAAACTGGTTCGAATCCCAGCGATGGCTGGTCGATACGAATTCTGAATTCGGCCTGCACCGACCACAATGCTAACATAAAAATATGTTATTATACTCAGTGGTAGACGGATCATGGGTTAGAGCAGGGGCGGATCCAGAAATTTTTCCTGGGGGAGTCGTAGACTTAGATTCCCGCTCCTCCCACGATTAATTTTTTTCATACAAAAAATTTTTTTTAATGTTTTTTTTTAGAAAAAAAAAACTGGGGTTTTTAATGCTAGTCTTCTTACTTATTTTTTTCATAATGAGCAATAGAACAATACATAAATAATTCAAGTATTCAAAATCTTTAAATTGTAAATGAAATGCGTTTTTTAGAAACTTTGGCAAATCTGTCAATGATTTTCTCAACATCCAAATCAATTTATCGATGAATGTTTAATAATGCGAGTCCATTTCATCGTTCTTGATTTTGACTTGCTCTAAGCCAAGTTTTGAGACGTCCAAGAGTTGAAAAGGAACGTTCTGCTGTTGCTGCACTAACTGACAAAGTTATTAAAATTCTCAACAACATATTGATTGATGGGTACACATCGATATCACGTGCATTAATAATCTTGGAAAGATCGTTGGGCTCTTAAGTCCTGGTTCTGTTTCACGCTGTCATTTTGCCACCCAAAGACGAAATTCTGTTTCGAAAATACTTTTATCTTTTAAATAATAAAAGTAATGATATAAAAAAAATTTGTTCACACAAGGACCACTCAAATATATATAAATTGTACTCAATTCACTGTTTAATTTGTATTTAGGCTATTTATTGTAAATTCAGAATATACATTTTTTAGATACTTAGTACTTAACATTATGATAGTACTTACCATTATGAATGTGACGGCTTCACGTGAGGAAGGGAAACTTCCCATACTATCAATGCTGAATCGTAACGATCTTTCCCCTCACCTTTGGCGCTGAAGATGTAATGCAGGAAAGCTACCGTCAAGAGCGCCTGAAGAACACTCGCAGATCATATTTCTCCGTTAATTATAATCGGATTCGATTTTGCTTTTAAATTTTCTTCAATTCTCAAATTTCTTTTGTAAACTATTAAAAAAATTATTATTTATTATATTATCTCCCAATACTTGATCCCTTGTCTTCTGGGTTGGGTTAAAAATTAAAAGACTACGGAGTTGAACACTAGTAGTCGTAAACCCAAATAATTGGGTCAACTGTTCAACGACGGTTATAAAAAAATGTTTCTTAACTTATTAAACGTTATGTTTATCAGAGCAATATGTTTAGCGATTTGCTTACCAAAGTATATCTTAGTGATATTTTATCAGAAAATACTGTGTGTTAAGATATCTTATTAATTACTAAATACAAAACACTGATTTTAGTTGTGAAAATGCAATTTAGAATTTAAGGAAAAAAAAGAAATAATAGCAGATAATACCAAGATAAAAAAATGTTAAATAAATATTACTGGTTATTACCCTTAAATTTTCAAAGAAATATTTTGCAATTTTAATAATTTTTATTAATTTTATTCTGATGACTAACACGTAATCTGGATCTTCATGTGCAAAAACAGAATCATGCTCTGTGATTTTTCTGGCCAATAAGAATGCACCTTGCAAAAATGGAAAAAGATTTGTGGCAATCAGGTTGTATGATATTAATTGAAGAAAACACAATTCATTTCTATAAACGAGGCACAAGTTTGCTTCTTTTAAGTTTTATTCAGCATCTTATGATAAATTCTTAAGGACTAGGTTTCTCTTTCTTATTTTTATCAACGTCTTGGGGTTTGTCCATCCGGCCGTAGTTTTGCTAGCAGTTATATTATGAAGAATCCACGCATTTTCGTTGACTCCCGCTATTTAATTGTGCACAGAAACTGAACAGCTCCTTATCTCGTTCCCTTCAACATATTTAGTAGAAAAAAGATTTAGTTCAGTCATTCATCTTCTCACAAAACAAGGAATTAGGTAGGACATTTGCTTCAAAGGAGACCTGCGCTTAAATCTAACGAACAAAAAGCTTTTTATTCAAGCTTTTACGAAATCCACCAGGCACAAGGCAATCATTGAAGAGGTAAAAATAAACAAGTCAGTTTCAAAATTTTCATCTTTTTTCTTCAAATTCTAGTTAACGTTTTCAATTCTTCCAGATAACATTAAAAAATTCATTTTAAAAAATGTATTCTTCTTTTGATTATTTCGTTTCAAATATTACCTCATTTAAAAAAAATGAAAAGGTACACATTTTTTTAAAAAATTTCAAAAGTGACTGGATAAAACTGCTACATTATTTACTTTTTAAGTTGTTAATATGAATTAAAATCAGAAATAATTTAGCACATTTTCAGTATTATTAAGAGATGCTCGCTAGCGACAATGCATGGTCTTTTTTTCAAGCAAAAAAAAGGGGCTATATGCATTAGTCAAACCCTAGAGGGGGGCGATGGGCCACAAAAGGTTGGGAACCAATGATGTGCCCCAGGTCCGAATCTCAGTGATGGCTGGTTGATGCGAATTCTGCTCCCAGCTCGCACCGACCACAGTGCTGACGTAAAATATTCTCAGTGGTAAACGGATCGTCGGTTAGATTCTCCTTGTCGTAGGGCTAACCGATTGAAGGTTTCGTGGTGTATCGCAAATACTAGTTAGTAACATCGAAAAGTCCTCAACGAAGCCCAATGTATGAGCCAGGAGTTCCCTTGTCTTCTGGATTGGGTTAAAAATTACTATGCTACAGAATTAAACATTCATAGTCATAATCTCAGAATTCGGTTTGCTGTTCAACTCTAGTTTTATATAAAAAATATATATATATATTTTAGTACATAAAAGCGAAACCCAGGACATAAAAGCAAAAAGCTGTTACTGTAGTTTTCACTTTTTAGCATGCTGGCCCCTGAAAATTTGGTTCTGGCTCGCAGAAGTTGATGGATTAATTTAAGATGGAAATCCAAGAAGGTCTACTTGCAACCGAGAAGTTGGCAACTGAACTAGACAGGCACAAATTGTACTAGAGGACATTGCCAATTAGTTTTTATGAACTTGGCTACTGTAAAAAGATAAAAAATAAACAGAATAATTAACATGTTCATTGCAATAAATAAATACTAAATAGAAAAGCTTTCCATGCAGAAATAAGGCGCGAAATCCCTTCGTCTAATAAGTTTAAATGTAAAAAAATGAAGTGGGCAATTGAATTAGACTGCAACTGTTTGTACTGTTTGAAGGTATAAGGGTAAGGTTAAAGGTAAGGCGTATAAAGGTAACTACTAAAGGTAGTAGTATAAGGTAATTAGTTCAGCATGCCAGCATCATTACAGCAAAGTACAACAAAAGTAAAAGTATAATTTATTGTACTGAAGGGAATTGGAATATTTTGTTTGTTTGTTTAAATGTGACAAAAATGAAGTTGACAATTGAGTTAGACTGAGACTGACTATACTGTTTAAAAGTATAAAGATAAGGTTAAAGGTAAGGCGTGTAAAGGTAACTACTAAAGGTAGTATAAGGTAATAAGTCCAACAACAGTACAGCAGAGTACAACAAAAGTAAAAGTATAATTCATGGTACTGAAGGGGATTGGGATTTTTCTTTTTTTATTTATTTTTTGTTTGAATGTGAGCAAAATGAAGCTGACAATTGAGTTAGATTGAAACTGACTATACTATTTAAAGGTATAAAGGTAAGGCTTTACACGCCTTACCGGTAACTACTAAAGGTAGTATACGGTAATAAGTCCAACAACAGTACAGCAAAGTACGACAAAAGTAAATGCATAATTGATTGTACTGAAGGGCATTGGAATTTTTTTTTGTTCGAATGTGAAAAAAAAATGAAGCTGACAATTGAGTTAGACTGAAATTGACTGTACTGTCGAAAGGTATAAATGTAAGGTTAAAGGTAAGGCGTGTAAAGAAAACTACTAAAGATAGTATAAGGTAAGTCCAACAACAGTACAGCAAAAGTAAAAGTATCATTGATTGTACTGAAGGGCATTGGGATTTTTTTATGCATTTGTTGGTTAAAGTATAAAGGTGACAAAGGTGCATTAGAACTACCTCAATGAAAAAAAAAATTAAGGGAGAAAAAGGGTGCGGAACCGCCTTAAGTGCGAAAAAACAAATAACATGAATAAATAGAAAATTTTCCTCGCATCATGGAAGACATGTGGAAAAGATAAACACATTTTCCTCGTCGTCAAAGTGGTCGATTCTTGATTTAGAATCATTCTGGTCTTAATCTGAGATGGGTAGGAGGCGCTTGACTGCACACTCGTGGCTGCAAAGCTGGGGCAATGCTCTAGGGGAAAAGGGAAAAAAAAAAGTTTTTTCAAAGGAAGAAAAAGTGCTTTTTCTGGTGGCATACAATCCGGTCCCTAACAAAAGTGAAATTTCGTCGCTTTATTTAAGGTCAGTGTTACTGTCTCGTGATTGGGTCTCTCTCACAGAAAGCCATCCTAACAAATGTAAGCTTTTTCCTGACGTCAGTCTCGTCAGGGTTCACATACACCAGTTGTTTTTCCGCGTGTAGACTTTAAAGACAACACCCAGCGAGTTATTCCATTCACTTTGCCTTTGTTTTCATTCTTCTTCCACCAGCGATGGCTTTCACCAGATTTCTAGTTTTCTTTGCGGGTAAGTTTCTGTTTCATCTCCTTCCTTCGTACCCTTCGGCTTTCTCTCTGTGGATGTTGAGGTGAAAGTAATAGAAACGATCTCAAAGATGGAAGCTAATTTTAAATATTAAAGCCCGGCTTTCTATATTATAGTGTTTTGAAAAGTGCCTTAATGATAGGCTTTGGATATTTGAATATAAGTGGTAACTAGTCATTGAAAAAAATTATTTTAACAGAGTGTGCAACCAGAATTTTCAACAAAAAATAAGCACCTTTTAAATACTTTTGAAACACTCAAAAAATATTTTTAAACAAAAAAAATTCATAATTAGGATCTGTGCAGTAATAAAATTTTTTTTTCCTCTGTCGCTTAAAGTTCTTTATTTATAAACATAAAATCAATAAAATTTAGAAACAGTTTCAAAAACTTTACATAATCATCATAAAATAACTCGTTTCTGATTTAAATTGCAGAGAAAATTGTGAAAATCATGCATTTTTTGCAATTTAAAACAACAATCGATACGGTAAAGAAAAAATTTCTTTTTAAAAGATAGAAAATTAAGCACTTTTTACAAACCCCGAATTAAAAAAGCACCTTTAAGGGCCTTTAAAAAACGTAAATAATCACCTTTAAGAACTTTTTTGAAACGCTACGCACCCTGTTTAATTTTCTCACAAAATAATATACTTGCCAACTCCGCTCCCAATTTTGGCGGGAGAGTTTTCTTGAGTATTCCAAGTGGTTGCAAATTTTATCTAAACCACTATATCTAAACAATTTAAACCTATTAAAGTATTAATTATAGTAAATATAAGACCTGTTAACCATGTACTGAAACTTTTAACCCATTATTGCCCAACTACTAAAAGTGGTTTATATATGAAGCACATCAATATGAAGAGAAAAAAATGGTCGTACAGAGTTGTTTACATCAAATGGATATTTCTTTTTGTTGTTTATCAATACTTATCACTTTAATAAAGCACTATGTCTTAACATAAATCCTAAGGATAAGACACTTTTTCTTTTTTTGAAAGTAAAATGAAATCATCGTTTCAAATGGAAGCTAGGCACAAAGGAGTTCAGCTCGGGAAAAATTAAGAAGAAAAGTTAAGCATAATCTTTGCTATTACTTTATTATAAGGAGCTGGAACTTTGGGTTAGCAAGAATAAGCATAAGCTGAGAAAATCAGAGATGTATCAATTTTTTCAGCTGTTAAAAAATCATGAAGCAACTTTGTCCCCTTTAAGTACTAAAAAAAATAATATTGTGCTAACATTTTAGGAGAACTTTTGTTGCCGCATCATCTTACAAAAAATTAATGTGTGCTAATGTACTCTAAACGAACCAAGATTTTAATTTAAAGCCTACCAAATACAGACATTTCACTTTATTTTAAGAACAACGTTGTGACCAGTTTTAGAGCTAGATATTATAACGCATATTTTTGAATAAGATATTTTAACTACGGTGAATGGTTAACATTACGCCGTAGTTAAAATATCTCATTCAGAAATATGCAAAAAATAGAAATTGGTAGAATTCCTATAATTTTTTTTTTATTTCTTGAAAGAGGCTGCTATAATTTTCAACACCAACTCCTGCCCTATGAGAATAATCACAGTATAATAATGTAGCTAAGTCTGATAAGTAAAAAATTTTCATTTTGCTAGCGTTTAATTTTTTGAAAATCACGCCTGCTTGACATTCAAATTCAAATTTTTCAATTATAAGCATAAAGTTAAAGAACACAAAAATCATACTTAGCAATGATATATGCTAACGATGTGCTATCAGATTTTATCTCAAATATAAAAGAATACGTTTTTTTCTTCTTTTTTTCCCCCTGTGGTCTGATAATTGAAGTAGTAACTAAATGTATTCCAGGGTTTTTTAAATTATCGGGCTAAACTCCCAAGACGGCGCGTACTTCTTCAGGTAATCTATTAAGGAATAAAATTCGATAAAGGAAAATATTTATAATATGTAATTTTTATAATATCTAACTCTTAACTTAAAATTCTGCATTAAATGATTCTTTAAAATTAAAGTCGAGGTTGAAGCGAAAACTAATCAATAAATTTAATCAAAATTTCGTCATTCTTTATTTTAATATTTTATTTCGAGAGTTGCCATTGTTTTACGAGAAATATTTCATATCACTTATGGGAAAGGAATAATGATAGACATAAATTTTTGTTTTTCTTTCTTCTAGAAAAAAGCTATCTTTAAAATAATTAAGTTAACAGTTTTTATAATTTTTTTAAAATTTTTTGTCTCAATTATTGATTTTATATAATTAAAGCTACCTTGATTGTAATTTTTGATAATTTTCTCTTTTTTTTTAAACATTAGTTATTCAAAAATATTCATTTTTGCTGAAAAAATACTTTTATTTGAAAGTTTATTTAAAAATATAATATTGGTGTTAATCAGATTGGCTGCGTATCAAAATAAAAACAGGATATTCGGAAATTATCATTCCATAATGTATAACTATAGATTCCGAGTCAAAAATAAAATTAAAAATATATATACTCACTAAAAGTTTCAGATTAATATTTTAGTGAAGAAATCTGTGCTAAATCATTAGTGACGAAAGCGGAATGAAAAATTTTTAAAACCGCTTTTGTTAGTCTTCTAATAATCTCATTTCAATTCCTCTCTGTCTCCTCCTGCAATCAAACAAGTTTTCTATTTCTTTCTTCCCATTTGTGATTCTTTAGATTTCGATAGAGTTTTTCTTTTTTCCTTGCTTGGATATTGATCTGGGACTTCTAATATGTACTAGACCAATATGTACTAATACTTTATTTTCTAAAAATATATTTTAAGCGTGGGGATTACGAAACACCACTACATAATTAAACAAGGTGCGCGGCGTTTTTAAAAAGTGCTTAAAGGTGCTTATTTTCGAAAATTTGTTTTTAAAATGTGCCTCATTTTCCCTTATCGAAAATGGGATTTTTTTCTTCTTTACTATATCGATTTTCGTTACGTATTATGCAAAAACACAGTTTTCACATTGTACTATTCAACATTTTCACAATTCATTCAAACACAATGCATTTTGGCGTACTGTCGGTCCGCATGAGCGTCTACTGAGCTGGTTTCAGTGGAAAGGATTATTGCCCTCCCATGTGCAGCTCTGCTGCATTTTGCAAGATATTCTCCATTTCAGGCTTCATTTTCTACCCTCCGAAATGAGCCGAAAGATCTCCCGATCTTTTCATGGTGGCTAATATGATCAAAAAAACGAGTTCTTTGTCAGAAACTATAGTTATTTTATTATGATCATGTAAAGTCTTTGAAAATTATTTCGCATTTTGTTAATATATATAGTGCTCAAAAATATTTTTAAGTGCTTCAAAAGTACTTAAAAGGAGCTTATTTTCTGTTGAAAGATTTGGCTACGCACCCTGTAAAAGCTTAGTAATTTTTGTTTCCTACTGTTGCTTTAATAAATCAAGCTGCAATTATTTCATTGGTGTCATACGATATTGGTAACCAAAATATTTGTGCCATTACTTTTAATTTTCTTTCTAACAAATATCATTATAATGTGATTTATTTCTATCCACTGATAAAAAAATATTTTTATCACTTAGCTGTTATCGTCGCTGCTCTTGGCCAGACCCACCTTCAACATCAGTATGAACAGCAACAGCAGCAGCAACAACAGCAACAGCAGTGCAATATTGAAGAGTGTCTCTTGAAGCTTCGTGACCCTGACCCTGTCAACGAGGGCGACATCAAAATATTTTGCGCGTAAGTACGGTGCAAATTTAACAGGATTTAATTAAGAATTCTTTATGCGAATTTATGAAAGTTATTTCAGGGGTTTTATTATGGAAATAACTATCATGTTTATCTCTTAGTACTCGAGATCCTTCTGGAAAAAAAAGAAAAAAAACGAGCGTAACCACAAAAAATTTAGTGGGCGTACCCTATAATACCTGGAGACTATAAAATAAAGTGGTCACTAAGCATTAAGAAGTAAAAATTTTAACGTTTTCGAGTGCAAAGGGTGAGAAAGTGTAGTAAAAGCATAAATAATGTATAATTAATAGTAAAAATACGACTATGATTAATTACGCAGAATTATTTTTGCTGTTGAACTTCCGTCAGATAATTATTTCCATGGTATTACTTGTTTTTTTTTAAAATTATAAACTACAATTTTTTTCCATTAAATTATTATCTGTAACAAACTATGATAATCTTGTTGGTAAGTAATTTACAGGCGACAGTCTTTTCGAGTGCAAAGGGTGAAAAAGGGTAGTAAAAGCATAAATAATTAGGTAAAAATACGACTATGACTAATTACATAGAATTACTTTTGTTGTTGATATTCCGCCAGATAATTATTTCCATGGTATTCCTTGTTTGTTTGTTTTTTAAATTAAAAACTATAATTTTTTTTCCAATAAATTACTATTTGTAGCGAATTATAATAATCTTGATGGAATTAATAATCCCAAGAAAACTGAACGGAAAGATATATGAAGATGAAATTTCATACGATACGTAACGAAGATAATTTTTCTATAGTCTTAATAAACGATTTACTAAATTTACGCAACATCCCGTACGTTCACGTACGGACGTTTTGCGATTGAATGTGCTAAACGACGTTGAAATGCTGAATCTCTATAAAAAGTTTCTGGCTGTACATTTACAGCATCATTAAGGACTTTTACGGCATCATTAGCTCATTTGAGGAAATATTTCAGTGTGGAAAAATTTCTTTTGCTCAGATAAAATAAATATATCGATACTAGGGCTAAGCTCCCTGCTCACTGACGCACACCAATGATTGATTGATTTCTTGCTCATTTTTTCTAAGTAATCATTTTTTGAAAAAACATTTAAAACTAAAAGTATATTGTTATAACAAATTTGGTGAGTTCACAACTGTAATTTAATATTTTTGCTTATCAAACGGACGGATGTATATTTTAAATTCAATTTATTGCATTCATCACTTTGAGCATGAAGCTGAAAGTTAAGTTCAGAATCATTAAATGTCTTTAACCGTTATTCATACTAACATATTAATGTAATTTGCACCAAAAAATAATAATTGTAAAACGGTTAATAAGATCAGGCACCGATTTAAATTACTTTACCTTAAAATGTAACATAGAATTAAGTTATTCTAATAAGAATAAAAATAATTCTCTTAAACTTTTAATTTTGAAAACAATCAAAATTAAAAACACAATAATAACAGTACAGGTAAATACCTTCACAGTAGGGATACAAAAGTATTTATAGGAAAACAATACCTTTAAGAATTATATCAATTTTATGCTGATGACAACCAAACCAATATGAAAATTAATGTACTGGAAAAAAAATTTTTAATTTAGGAACTCTCTGATCTGAGATTTGATTTATCTACGGCACCACATTTTGCAACCTTTTGATCAGTTTTATATTTTTTCAGTATCGTCGTACCTGTACTTCGGGAAATATTGCCCATCTAGTAGATCTTTCCCAAAGATTCAGGATTTAATCCTGATTAGCATTATGATGGGAATATACCCGGTCACTTAATCCAGTGCAAAAGAAAGCGGGGACGTAACGTAAACTAGACTGAAGGCGGTATGTCCTGTCATAGTCTGAAAAGGAAAACAGAAGCTGCTCAAAAGCGTGTCTTCTTTGGAAGAGACAACACTTTTAGCTCATTTTCTTCAAAATTTTAAATTACATGAGCAATATGATGGTATCCCGTTTTTAATAATTATTAAAATGCGTTTCTCGACTCTAAATTAATTTAATATATTCAACTGCATTTGTATTTTTGGAAAATGAGGAAAAGCATTTATTTTTATTGTAGCACAAGTCAAAAGCTGTAATCGACCCAATTACGACTTAAAAGAATCGCACGTGTTGATCAGGACATGACAAACACTTCCCAATGATACTAAATAACACAATTTGTGTTACAATAATCCAAAATTTTATTGGATTATTATTATTCGAAGTTTTAAATTATTATGGCCATATTAGGATATTATTCAAAGCATGAAATTATCTTCAACAATATGCTTAAAGTATCATGCTTTTAATAACAATTATCATGCGTTCCATGACTCTAGATTAATTTAATACATTCAGCAGGATTTTTATTGTTGGCAAACTAGGAAAAATTTATAATCTCTTGCCATCCAAGCCAAGAGCAGTAATCGATCCAAAATACGACTTAAAAGAATCATAAGTGTTGATAAGAACAGGACAAACACTTCCCAATGATACTAAATAACACAATTTGTGTTACAATAATCCATAATTTCATTGTTCCACAGCCGAAATAAGCTGTTACGGTTAAATTATCTTGCGTCTTTAAGACAACAAAATTCGCAGTGATGAACGATTCTGGCATAGATTTGTCTGGTTCTGGCATAGACTTCTCCAGGTAAAAAAAAAATTGACTCGTTTTCTTTTCAAGCAAATTAATTTTAGAAAAACTACTCATCGGGAAATAATGAGGGACGCAAACTTTCCTCTCCCCCATTTCTACTTCGAAAACTGTCAAATTTCGGCTTTATAGATAATCATTCATTGACGCAAATAACTTTTTCGCTGTCACCAAACTGATTAATTGCCTCTGAGAAGCGAAGTTAGTTTCTTGCTTCACTGCACGTTGAGGTTGTAAATAAGATGATGACAATTTGTTGTACTTTATTTGTGCTTGTGTTGTGAACATGGATGATGATTCACACTCCATACTTCTGATTCATTTGGGCCACTATATTAGTTCATACGCCTAGTTAAGTTCTTCTTAAAAGTTACAGTTCAATGATTCTATGATTTATGATTGAACCCTTCCCTCCCCTCAAAAAAATAATAACAAATGAACAAGTAAATAATAAAGGCCATCGTGCTAAATTTTATTAGTTCTGGTTTAAATAATAAACGAGATGATTATCGTTTGTACTGATTTGTAAATTAATTATGTATATAGAGGCTTATTAAATCATAACCACCTCATTTAATCACGCTGCTAAATGCAATGGTAATAAAATGAAATAAATAAATAAAGTAAAATAAAAACTCTAAAATATGGGAAGCTAGCAAGTTTTACGAAGTCTAATGATAACAAACGTTCTCTATTTGTCTGTTTCGTGTTTTTGATAACTGTTTAATACATTGAATCAATTATTGAATGGTTAAGAATAGTAGAGTAAATAGTTGCCACTATTTTTGTTCGCGAGGCAAACTAAATGCATTTTTTAGTACAGAACTGTAGATATCATGCAAAAAATTACATTAAATCGACAAAATAGCAATTGTTTGAAAGAAAAATGTGCTTGTTTTTCTTAACATAATATTTTTACAATGATGCTTTAAATTGATTCTAATGAGCCTGGAATGATGCGTTGTCAATAAACAAACCCACAAAAAATGAATAAATTGAAAATTAAAACCATAACAGTTAAGAAAGTAAATAAGAAATGTAACTAAATTTTCACCGTAAAAAATTTTAATTTTCTTTAACTTGTTTACGTTCGTGTATCAATTAGTTAACATTGTAATGCAATACGTTAAAAAAATACTATATTAACGCAAATAAGAAGTACACAAAAAAATTCTCCTAAGTAAAAACCCATTACATTTGTGTTTAAATATAAAAGTATTGCATATTAACTCGTGCAAAACATGTCAGTATTAAAACACTACAGTGTGTCGAATAATTTGGTCTAATTATTATAATATACTAACGTAATACCTGATATAATAAATATTCCATATTTATATAATATATCATCTAATTTATCCAATCGTCTAATTTACATCATATATCGTCTAATTTAATTAATTGATACACAAACGTAAACAAGTGCAAACCGGTATGAGTCGCGTAAAAGCAATAAAGCTGCAAAGTATCACCTGATAATTAAGATTTTATATAGAATCTTATAGTGCATCTATTGCCCTTTATGGGTGATATTTTACGTAAGGAAAATGCGGATGATTCATCTGCTGCTATGTGATTTATGTCTGCGCAAGACTGAAAACCAACAGAATTCATGAACTGAAACTGAGCCATGGTTTGAGTGTAATATCATAGTGTAAGCTACTCCTTTTGCGCTTTTCTACCTGTTCCTGTCAGACAGGATCGCATTTCGTAGATGTCATATATGAGTATAATCGAACTTTCTAATTGTTAAACATTTATGCCATCAGTTGAAATGTGCTCTTTTTCTTTTTTACCATTTCATAGACGAACTGCTGAGGGCCTAGGTTGTTTGGACCGTTGTCTGGATTCACCCCTCTACCAAGCCACCAGTCCTTTCGTGATGGGAGGTGTCAAGCAATTGCTATCTGAGATTTGTGCACCAGGATCAAGTCTCGGAAAACGTGAGTATCCTTATTTTGATAGATTAAAAGCCATTGGAACGGCGGCGGAGGACGGGGAGAAAAGCATTGACACTAAAACCATGTCATTTCTTGCTTTTACTCCTGATAATCTAGACTAGAAATAGGGATAATCTAGACTTAACAGTTATTACATATGTATTACATGTGAAATTTCTTTCTGCCGTGTGAAATTAAACTTCTAAAGTTTCGTCTGATTTTATTTATAACACATCAGAAATGTGATAAAACATACAGTCTTGTTTATAAACATACAAGAAACAGACAAGTTAAATCTTTCATTAAATTTTAGTAGTTATGGCTATTTCACTTTCCCCGAAAACAAGCCAGGAAAGAAATTGTTATACTACTATTTTTTTCGTACTTAAAGTTTGAATTTTTAAATTTATATTTGATAGGTAGGTACTTTATTTGCGTTACACTAGAGCTGCACGAAGGGCTATTGGCAACGGTCTGGGAAACATCCATAAGGATGATCCGAAGACCTACCATCACAATTTTGATCCTCTGCAGAGGGGATGGCTCCCCTGTTTGGTAGCCCGACTACCTGAGCGCGAAGTACTTTACGGTAGAACAGTTTACCGAGGACCAGAACCTCACACCCTCGGTCTCTACGCAGGCTGATCAAAGTGGTCACCCACCCACTTACTGACAGCAGCCAGTGATGCTCGACTTCGGCATTCTACTGAGAACCATGTCTTTACGATCAATCCACTGCGGGACAAATTTATATTTGAATTTACTGTTTTAGCCACCATAACAAATCAATAGTTCAAACATATCAATAAAAACTGTTGTTTAGGCAGATATACTTTTAAGTATTAAAGAAGTAGCTTAGTAATCAGAAAAATGTTCCTTCTTTGATTAGTATGCTTTTCCCAATGACAGTAGAAGTTGGCAGCCATGGAAATGAAAATTATATTATATTGTGGCGTAACTACCACTACAAATATTAAATACCAAATTTCTAGTATATAACACATGTTAACTTGGTTATATTATGAGGTACCGTTTGATAGATTAAAGTAGACATAGTAGATGATTAAAATCCCTTCAATATCACGGCTACATATTTATTTAGACTTATATTTGCAACATCATATACAGTTTTATGATATGATTTATCAGAATAATGAATGTAAGCACCATTTTTATTTATTCCGCAATAGGCTACTTGCAAGAATCTAAATGCCTCAATCACCAGAACACTACCGTAATGGATTGCGCTGCTTCAATGATTGATAAATATCCCGCTCTCATCCAAAGACCTGATCCAGACTCAATCATCAAAGTTTTCTGTTGGTAAGCATGTAATCTCATACATATAAATAATGCATGCAGGGAACTGGGACAATAGAATGATAAGCCACATTTTGAAATTGCTTGGTGATTAGTTTAAGTTCAAAACACCATGAATTTGTAAAATACGTATCAGGAAACAATACGAAAAGTTTAAAGCAAAAAGGTCAACTTAAAAAATATAAGACACATCACTATATTGCTTCAAGCCCTGTATATTAAAAATCATTTTGAAATGTGATGCGAAATGATTAAAAAACGAGTTTAAATCAAAAAGATTATTAAATAATAATTGCTGACATCCGTAACTTAAAAAACTAAGTATTCGATTAAAAATTTCTTTGATACAAATTAAATTTATAAACACGTTTATTAATTTTGAGGTTTGGATTTCTTAAATGAAAGGAGTTTTTCGCTTTGAAAATGATATTAATTTCGCAAGGTTTTGTTATAAAGAATAAGAATTCAATTATTTTTAAGTCTATAAAGACAATGTTTTTATACTACTAAATTTTTAAAATATCATCAAAAGCGGAGTTATTCATTAAAATGATTTATGCACTAAAACGTTTAGTATGAAAAAAATTTAAAGAAATAAAGTAATCGTTAAAAGAGTAATACAATTTAAAAATTACATAAATAACCAGAAACAAAGGAGAAAGTTGTGGGATCTTAGAACTTTTTAAGAGACCGCTAACTGGCATAACGAACTTTTTTCTTTTTCTACATTTCTAAATCTTGTTCTTCTGGTTCTATTAACATAAAATAAAAAATATAAAAAAAAAAAAAACGATTTCTCAACACTATATTCGTCTAACAGAACAGGGTTTCGAAACTATTTAACTTTCCTTTATATATAAAAAAAGATTCGACCCGAGTTCTTATTTCGTTTTGACTAAAGAATGAAATGATTTTAAATTGTTAGACGTGCATAATATAATTATGTAATCGAACCAAGAGCCATAAGGAAATATTTTCTTTTTAAACAAAATCATTAAACGAAATTTGATAATTTAAGAAAATATTTTTCATCAACAAAAATATCTAACATTTATAAAAATACACATGTTTGCGAAACTTTTCATCAACTTTAATAAATCAATCTAAGTTTGTATTTTTTTCACATTCATTAAAATAATCTTAAAGAATATTATTCTAAAATAAATAAAATCTGCATTTAAGATAATATGACCCCCCCCCCCCCCCCCNGCCCCCCCCCCCCGCAACTAAAATGATATCTAACCAAAAGGTATCATGGTAGAACTATATTTTAACCCTTATCATTCCAAGAGCTAAATGAAATGATTTTTAAGCAACTTCATAAGTTAAATAACAGGTTAAATATTTTTCTCTATTTATTTTAAGGAAGGAAATAAAGTTTCCTTGACTATCACAGCTGTTTTAAACATATATAACTATACATTACAAACATTTATACTTTTTATAACACGAAAAAAAAATGGCAGTCATTGATTTCTTTTATCCGAAAAAACAAGTAATTAAAAAAAAAAAACATTTAAAGCCAATTCCTACTAAGGTCAACAGAGAAAAACTTTATTTCAGTTACTTTTTATTAAATAATTACAATTTTTTCACCCATATAAAACTAAAATTAGTTAATTAAATTTAATTAATGAATTAATTTTTGAAAAAACTGCATTAACATCAAGTGTCATCCACTACAAGTTCAAAAAAATGTATTTGAACTTGAGTGTATGAATAGAAAGTATTTTATTAACGATTGAAAATTTGAACAAGATATATATAGAGAGTGTGAACTAATAGTTGGAATTGAATAAAGGATAAACTATTTTTTCTACAAGTTTTCTTTTTTTAAATTCTCCTTAACGTGACAGTTTCACTGGGTAGTATTACTATCGGATGAAATAATAAAGGTAGATACATAAATAAAAATCTCATTATAATAGGAATTTCTGTGTAATACAACTTTTTTTTCATCTCATTCTTTTAGTTCCATTGATCGAACCGGTGAGTGTATCTCTGAACGAGTTCACAAAGACTGTGGCAGAAGTGCCTCAAAACTTGTCTCTGAAATGATGGGAAAAGCCTTTTATCCTATCAATCAAGTGATCTGCTATTACAACGATCCATCCAAATGCCCACAATTCTAAGAGCAAAAGAAGAACACTTCAATGCAGAACAGTATTAATCATGCTCTATTTTCACAGTAAAATCACACTATTCCCAAGCATCAAATTCATGAAATATCACCCTACCAAAAAATCATCGTTGTAAAAATGTTACGCAACATTTAATAATTTCGATGGAACATTACCTCACGTATCATCTACGTCAAAATTCTAAATAATTAAAACCTTCAATGATTAAAAAAATATCATTACGCTAATAAAAAATCTTCGTAAATATTCTATACAAGTAAAATTTTTAACGATTAGTGGAACATCTCCACACGATTAAAATATAGCAAAAATTCTAAAAATTTAAATTTCCAGTGATTAAAAAATATGAGCATTGGAATTAAGAACAACATTCACATTTCTTATTAAATTATAATTGAATGCTGTCGTTGCAATTCTAACTAGTAATAAACATTCAGTAACAGTAACTATAAAACAAAATCTATCATAGCTCTACAAATTAACATCGATATTAACCGAGACATATTCAGAAGTATTAAATTTGAGCTAAAAATTTAATTTTTAGTAATTGAACACATAAAATTCTTTACCAAACCCAAATTGTAACTTTAAACAGTATTTTGTCGCATAATTAACGAAATAGTAAGCAAACAAGGCATATTTAAATCTTTACTCATGCAATATAGAATACCCAGCATTTCTTTAACTGAATTCGCTTTTACTTTCTTTTTAAAGCAAGCGTCATTTTATTGTCTGAGGATTCGATCTCAATTACTAAATATGTATGAATCATAGTATAAAAAAAACACCAATTTTTTTCTTCAAAAATGTAAAATTTGTTTCTATAAATAAAAAAATATTTCTTAAGAAAGTGCTACTAAAACTAAATAGGTCACGCAATTTAAAATAATATTGCAGGATTTTTAATAACTAAAACGCAATAAATCAAATAATTTCAAGAATTTAGTACTCTGATAAATTTGTTATTTACCAAAATTAATATTTAATTTAGATCAATATTAAAATCGCAAAGAAATTTCGCGAGATTTTATTGTTCTTAAAAAACAAAACAAAAAGCAAATTGATCTCATCTATGTATTATATTTTTTCATCTAAGTCCATCCTTCTAAGTCGGAAAATTCATCATGAGTCGTTTACCAGGATTGATCCTGTTTTAGATTCATTTGTAAACATCTTGTAAATAAAGATTCCTTTTGTATTTCTTTCATTGATGTCTTTATTTCATTAAACGAAATTGTAATATTTTTAAGATACGAAGTGTTCTGCTGACCATTGCTTGATGTTGTATTATTAATATATATTATTCTCAAGCAACAGTTTTACCTTGGCCCCGTTGGGCTCAATATGGCTCTTATATGAACATGCACCGATAGATCAATATTAGGTTATCTAGATTTTTTAATATTGGTCCTCTACAGGTTCAATATCGGCTTATATTGGCTGAATAATGAATATAAAATATGGGGAGAATCTACCTATTCTATAGAGGGCCGATATTGGATATAAAGTGGCTGTAAAGTATCGGAGGAATAGGTCAATTCTATATAGGCCCAATATCGGAAGAATAACGGGCCCTTGTTGAGCCAAGATTCGTGAATATTGGATGAGGCCCCAAGTTATTTCGCTGCTAGGGATTTGGTTAATGTGGAAAAAGGGACCACGCTGAATAACTTTTGATCTTAATGATAGAATCTTTACTTTCTAGGATTCAATAGTTGGAGGGAATGCATCAAATATGCTGAGTAATTAGTGCAAACGATATTTTAAGTTACGAAGTCTGGCACAAAACCCTACTTTCTCTGAATAGAATTACCTTTTCTTTTTTTTGTTGTTGTTGATGGATTCGGATTTCTGACCTCTGAAATATAGGGGGTACCTTCAATGTGGGAAGTAATTATGCTCGAGCGAGGAATAAGCACCCACTCAAATCATTAATAGTGAGTCCTAGAGCATGAAGATCCAATAATTGGACCAAAAGTTATTCAGGGTAGTGCTTTTTTTTTCTGCGCACTGAAGATTATTATTACACTGACATAAAAATATTGTGGGAGTGAACCTTAACTTAAAGAGAAAATATAAATGAGAAGAGACAAAATTTAATTTCCTGTAATATCGCATAAAATTAAAATAACGCTTTTTTTCTCAATAATATGCTATGTTCAAAATCTGCTGTGAGTTTGGAATAGTTATTCATAACTGTTCGGTCAAGTTCAGCCTATCTTTAAGCAGTGTCCTCTATGATGCTATATCTGAAAATGGAGTTAAACGTCAACATAAAGAAAAGTCGCAGTTTTGTGGAGAAAAAAAGAGTTAGCGAACTCTTATTTTCCGAGTTTTTTGATTTTTTTTAACGTTTAGAGAGTTACTCCGTCACTAAATTACTTTGGCTCATATAAATTCGTCAAAATTGAGACTCATTCGTATTTTTTGATAAATTTGATCTAGTCGGATAAAGACTCACTAAATAGCCGGTTTTTGAAAGAAGTTTAATAATTTTTAAAATGTTTCAGTTATTTGTTGGTTCTGAAGCCGAGATAAATTTTTTTGACACGATGATATTACTAATTTAAAACTACAGCTTTACCTCACATGTAAGGCACATAAACTTTGACATTTTTTCCCTTGTTGAAAGAGCTTCGATAAACACTGCTAATATTAGACGCCTATAGCAGTCAGTGACGTAGCGTTGGTACCTCGATCCTGATTGGTTGATGAAACGTGGTATTTGTTTAGTTAGCAACTGTTCTTTCCATTCTATTTCGAGTAAGTCAAGTCGTTAAGTATCAATTCTCTTAAGGGACAGATTCTAAATTCTGTCACAAAGATTTTTTCTCAAAGATTTCAATTATTTCACTATATATACAGCAGGTACGAAGCCATGTGGAACATAAACTAATCATGCATCGAAGTTGCTAGGTACACAAAACAAAAATATATCCCGGTTACAGTAAAAATACATAAGCAAATAATAAATCTAAGTTAAGAAGAAAAAAAAGTAAATGAGAAAGAATTATATTTCAACTAATCAGATGTGCAATACGGCTTTGTATATAATTAACTTATTGTAAATTAACATTCTAAATTATGTTGAGAAACTTAGCTCAACTTTAATACACCTATGCTGGTGAAGATTAGCTAGCGCTGACGTTATAAATCACATATGTGAGTATGGGAGGGCTTCTTCTTGAAGTGCTAGTACTAATTGACCAAATTCTTATGAGCTGAGCTGACAGCTTTGAATCAGTTATGTTACCTTCAACAGTATTTGAGCTCTTAGTTAGACCTTTCGGAATCACTGCCCTACAACTCCTTAATAACTTCTTTCAAACCATTCTTTTTTCAAAACGTGATTACACATTATATTCAAATATTAATTGCGATAAAAATTACAACAGCGAAAATAATATAAATTATTTTTTAATTTCTCCAGAAATTTTTTCCTAGTAAATGTCTTAATTATGGATGGGTGGTCTAATGTAAACAATAACAAGCGTCCTTAAACCGGAAGAAATTTAGAAAATTTCCGGTGTATCCCTCCGCTTATGTTATGACTACGAGGCGATGTGTGAACAAGCCTAATATTCTATGCAGTTTAGTTATTGTAATTTGGGTTCAAATCTAAACATAATTGTACTATTCATAAGAGCTTTCAGAAATGTATTGATTCTCAGAGGTCGTAAGGCCAAAAAAAATTTTGGAAAGTTAATATCTCATTGTGAATAATTCTTAAGGTTTGCCATGTTTTGTATTTTATCCCTTATTTGGCTACATTTGAATAAAATGTCGCCAAAAATATCTTTTTAAGTTAGCCTAATTAGAAAATATTCTAATGATTATAATATTAATATGATAATGCTGAAGTTTAAAGGCTGAAAGAAAGAACTCGGTACATGTGAAATACTGCAAAAGATATGATGCAATAATATGATGGCGCGTTTTTTCAATCTGCGGCGTAAAAATATATCGGAAGCAGTAACCCGGAAGTCTTGAAAGAGCAATTTTACCACTAGCGCCACCACCCTTAGCTTTACACGATCACCCATCCATTTGCAGAGTTCCTACCAGTCTTAAAAAATGGCCATTACATTTACTACTAATAAGAGAGATTCCCCATTGCTGAATTTATCATATATAACCCTTTAGGAAGTATAAGTAAGAATAAAAAAAAATACAGTACTCAGCTATGTTTGCACAAAATATAGGCTTGAAATAATTTACTTTGATATGCAAGAAGTCTAAAGTTAAAATATTTGAAAGTGGATTGAATTATTGAAATAAACTGCAAACATAAATGCTTTAAAGCAATCTTTAAAATTTGATAGTTAAGAGCGAATGATCCACATAGCAGCGTTAAAATTACTAAATTGTTATTATTACTTACTGTAATTACCTCGTTACAGAATAAATCATACGACTTTTGTTCACATGTAACAAATAAGCGTGCAACAATTATGCTACAAAAACAATATAAAACTTATTTAATACTCTTAACATTATATACATATTAGAATATAATTTGAACTCAGAAAAATACGTCATGAAAAAACAAAAATGCAGAAAAGTAATTATCTTTTATAAATCGTTTTACTTTTCATAGAAAAAGGAAGAAAACAAATATTTTGCTTTCAACAGAAAAAATATTTATTCTTAGCTCTTTTTTAATTAGACTAATATATGAAGTATTGAGGAAATGCGTTTTAGCAAAAGTTGTAAAAAGTAATTAATAAAAAATTCTGATTCATCTTATCAACATTTATAGATCAAATATACATTCTTTCTAAAAAAATTTTTAAAAGTGAAAAATCGTTTGCTTTTTCTCTTTGATTATTAACTAAATTTAACTGGTATTATTTACTATTAAAATTGTTACTTTTAAAAATATAATAATTGGGTAGTGCAACTTGAGAAGAAGAGAAGTAATTATGCCTAACCATGTGATTTAATGGATACCTGTAAGAGATGTCATGCATGTGTGTCAAACCATAGCCTTACTATGATTTCTCTGTTTTTTCACCTTCAGTTTATGAACTTGTTTTATGATTCTCATCATCACTACATGTATCTTAAACGATATTCACATTTTAAGGAGTTCGTAAAGTCCTTAAGAAACTGAAATGGCGGCAAGTAAAAATAAAACGCATTCTTTTTTTCCCCGTTTACATTCACCACAATATTCAATTTCATTTACTTCAAGTATTTGGTTTCAAGATTTAATTTTAAGGAAGATAACTTCATGTTGTTGTTGCTGTTGTCATTTGACAAGTGCAGAAAAGTTAAAGTACAAGTCAAATGGGATCGAAGGCATGGAGCACAGCCCTGGCCACATCTCCGACTTTTTCGGTATAAAGGGTGTCATGGCAGCAGTTGAGGTATATGCTGAAGAGGGTCGAGGCAACAGAGATACAGTTGAAGAAATGCCTCGGATCCAGCTGAGCACCCGGAGATAACTTTATAATTGCACTATTGATGCTACGGTTATCTTTTTTAATGACTGTATGAACACTGTTAAAATATTAAAATACAGAAGCTTACTTCTTCGAGTTTAAAATTTTAATCAAAATAATGATCAAGACCTAAATTTAACACAGTATAATTCCGGATAAAAACTTCATTAGCTTAAAAAATCATGAAGATCAAAATAAATATCGATATGTTTCGCATGCTCAAAAATAAGCACCCATTCTCAAAACTTATTAAGAATGATTAACTTGTGACGTCAATTTTTAAGCCATAAAATAAATCTACTTTTATTGTCATCTTCATTTTTTTTTAAATTTAAATTATTTTTAATCCTTTCGCTTTAGTTTCTTAACACAGTATATTAAATTACTTATCGCGATATTAAAATAAGTTTTACATAAGAGGCTCTTAAATTGAAAAAATAATAATTAATCGCAATTTTCTTTAAAAAAAATCAATGCAGTACAATTGTTTTTACTGCTAGCCTTAAAAATAATATTAAGGGAGTCAAAACAAGTCCGCTTGGAATTGAAATTTCAAAAGTCGAATGAGAAAATGAAATGCCCCCTTGCACCAAGAATCAAAGTTAAATAGTTACAAAGGCAGTTATTTCAAACAAGTTAACGTTCTCGTCACACTCGAAATAGTTTGAAAATGTGTTTTATATTTATAGATCCAAACTTTATTCTTTGTATATTTTAAGGTATACTTTAGGCGTACTTCTACAGAGATATTTTTTACACCCTTATTTGCTTAAAATTAAATAATTTGCTTAAAATAAACTACTCAAGACATATGATTTAATACACCCATAGTATAATGGTAAACTGGGTTTCCAACGCATATCCTTATCCTTGACACCACTATCAATAAATTAATGGTATAAGCATAAATAAATAATAATAGTTTAATTATTTCTCGTTTCAGCTTTCAAGCAATAATATGCTTCGTTCAAACAGATTTCAATTCTGGAAATAACGAAATTATCGAGAAGGTTCCTTGGGTCAACATCATTCTTATATCCTCTTATGACGAAATATAGGAATAATTTGTATTTATTGCAAAAAATATGTAAAAAGTTGTTATCAGTTTTAATTAATTCTGTAATAACTGAATCAATTTCGGAAAAAAATATGTTAACTCTTCATTGCGTACTTTTCTTTTTACCAAAATAAGTTCAAAATTTGCGCATTTTTTATTACACATCTCAAATAAAATTATGGTTTTAAAAATAGTATGGATTTGGAATCTTTTTACAATGATCCATTTTTAGTACTTGCTGTTTAACAAAATAGGGCATTTTCCTAAAATTATACTGTAATAATATATTCTGAATTGAGCAATTGTTGAAAAATAATTTTAACAAAAGTAAAGTTTTCCAACCCCTTTTTCTTTAAAGAGCAGCTTTTTTAAAGTTTACTGTGTAATATATTAGCTTAAACGTCAAAATAAAATTGCGGTTCAAACTTGTTCATTTAAAAAACAAATCAAACAGTTGTGATTTCTTAAGTTGCACTAATATGTATTTCTTTTTCACAAATCAAAAAAATAAGAAACAAAAAGGTAAATGAATAATTAATTTGTTTGTTCATTCTTAGAAGTTATTTAACCCTGTGCTTATTATGAGTGGACCAGAATGGCTTCATCATGCTAATATAGCACGTGCCATAAGCAGGATGAGGGACTGATAGAAAGATTCAGAGAAGGACATCACACAGAATACATCCAGGCAGGGCCGTCTTAATAGCATGCAAGGTCCCCGGGCACAAAAATGTTCTAGACCCCTAGAACACGCCATAATGTTTAAAAACGAACTAAAAAACTTCACATACATAAAATAAATCATTTTTAAGATATGATGCAATAATTTCAACAAATTTAAACTATTTTTTATTACTCAAAAACTCAAATAAAACATTTTTAAACTATGTATAATTTTTTAAAAAAATTGAGAAGCTAACCAGTAGCAATCCTTAAATAATAAAATAATTTTCAAAATTTTGGAAGTTAATTAAAATAATTAAATTAAATAAACATAAGGGTATAACAAATTAAAATAAATTCAAAAGATATGAATTATTTTTTCAAACTAAACAGTTATTGAAACATCTTTTAATGCCCAAGTAACTAAAATTTTCATTGGAACGTAGAAAAATAGATTTTTGGTTGCCTTTTTTCAGTTTTCTTGTTGACAAACTATTCAAATTATTAGTGTTTGCATGCTAATCAGTCAATATTTGTAGAAAAATACACTTTATGTAATTGAATATATTTATTTTAAAAAGTATATATAGCAATGTTTATTCTAAGCTTTTTTTTAAACACAATTTATAAAAAGTAAGATTTTCAAGGGCCCCTTGAGTTCCTGGGGCCCCCGGGCACTGCCCAGGTGTGCCCATGCGTAAAGACGGTACTGCATCCAGGACTACGGTGGGATGGGATTCAAACCCGCTTTGCACAGTGTTTGGCGTGCGATACCGCTCGGTCAGGGAGGCCCATACAGTTTAAAAAGTAATAAAATTTTCATGCTTTTCTGATTGCCATTGAGGGAGAACTGATAACTACAGTGAACTTAGATTTAAGATAAAACGTCATGAAAATTTTAAAACATATTTTTGACAAGTAAATACGAAAAATATTAAGAAATGGGAAAATACTGTAGTGCATTTCTACAGGGGCAAAGAAGAGGGGGAGGGTAAATACATGGAACCGGTCTTCTCCTCAGATGGCGTATTCGAGCGTTGCGAAAGCTTTTGGCCACAGGCTTATAAGCCTTAATTGAGCACAGAAGTCAGCAAATGTATGTGGTAACAATAAAATAATAATTTTTTTAATCTTCATCGTTATCGAAATTTTGTAAATAAACATGGCTCCTATTTTGACGAAGAAGCCGGTCAATCCAATCCCAGTTGCTGTTGAACCTGCCGTGGAAGTAATATATTTTCGGTTAAAAGTTACTAATTTTCTATAAAATAAATGCTTTTTTATATTTCTTCTGTTGCATGTTATATTTGTTCTGTTGCATATCATGTTTTTTTCTTCTTATATAACTTTATAGTACTAACACATTCAATAGGGCTTTCAGTTATATTCATTTATTTTTTTACATTTTTGTAAATTAGTTTTACAAAAGCTTAAAGCTTTTTTTTCTTTCTAAATTCACTTTGATAATTTGAATGTTTAGCCTTACTGTCATCATGAATACTTAGATTTGAATTTAGCATTAGCAAGAACTTCTTTTAAGTTTTGTTAATAGTGTTGGAATTTGGTAATTGGAATTAAATTTAGTGATTTCTAGAGTAGCACTATGGGTAAACCTACACTGAAAAAAATATTGTTTTAATCTGTCAGCTACTAAGCTTTACTATTTTTTTCAACGATAAGTTATTTTGTGCTAGCAAGAACCTGAAGGCTATGAAATCTGTATTTTTCAGTTCAATCATCTTTTAGAAAATATATAGCATCTTTCAGTTTAGATTATAATTTATTTAACAGCACTGAGGAAGGATCTTGTTAATAGAGCTGAAACTATAGCTTGTCAACTTATGTCTCTTTATTTTTGCTTAATTCACGTTTTTTGCTTTAAAATGTATTTAATTTTATAAATTTATTTATAACACAATTTGAAACTTTTATTATGTAAACATGCTTATGGTAACACATAATGCTTCTATGAGTTCTATGCATTTTTTAGCTATGCATTAGTAATTTACTATCGTTGTAATCTCATGATACTATGATCATGAATCAATTCTAAATAAATATAAAAGCTGCTATAATAAGTCTTTTCTTATTAATATATTTTAGAATTTCTCTTTAGTTTATTTATTTTTCTCATAATAATTTATTTATATCCTGTTATAAATATATTCTAAAATGCAAATGATTACACTTTTCAGAAATAATTATCATAAAAAGTTTTTCCTTAAGGAATTGCTTGACCTGAAAGAGGAGAATAATTTATTATAATTTTCATATCATTTGTAGGAATTCTCTTGGTTAGTAGTAACACAGATACTTTACATATATATAGATAATTACATATATTGCACAGATAATTTACATATATTTTTTTTTCGATAGTTATTATTACAGTTTTTTTTATTTTAAATATTGGCATATGTTTTTTTTTCTTCTAGTAAGCATGAACTAGATTTTTTCTGGAAACTATTTTTTCTTTTAGTCAATTTTGTTTGTATGATAAGACAGTGTTGTAGTTCAGATTTTATGCTGTTGTAAGGCTTTGAAGTTTCAAGAAATTAGTCTGCTAAACATAAAAACAAAGCAAAAATATTTATAGTTTGTTAATATGAAAACTAAAACAATAATTACACAATATATTTTTGATTTCATGGAGCCTATTTAAAATTTTCTTGAAAATAGCATAACAATAAATCAAGATATTGTAAGGTTGCCTTCAAAAACTGATTATAGATAAATAGTTATTAAAATTTCTGTGCTAGTGCTTTTTAATGTCAACTACCTTTGCCAAGTTGCTAAAAAAGTTTTTTACTTTTGGAGTAATTTACCCAGGGATTGCTCTGAGTTATACTTTCTCAAGTTGGTCTCTTTCTGTAATGTTTTAGTTTTTCATGTGCCATTGTCTAGTTTTTTCCGAAATTGGATAACTTTTCTAAGGCATGTACCAATACGAAGATCTTTCCGAATTACTTATTTAATTAATTTAGAATAACTAAATGAAAATTTTAGTTCTCTTAATGTTCATCATTTTTATAACAGAATGTTACAATATTATTGTTAAAATAAATATTTCTCATTGTAAATGTGTATTTTATATTTAATTTTTTAGCCAATTCAACCATCATCAGTAATTGTGATCCATCCTGGATCAATGTACTTAAGAATTGGAAGAGCTTCAGAATCATATCCCAAAGTTATTCCCCACGTAATTGCCCGGCGTAATAGATTGGGGCCATCTCCTATTCACCGAGATCCAACTTTGGTGCCACTTATTAATTTGGTAGTTTTACTTCTTGAATATTTTTAGATTAATATTTTCTATTGTTTGAAAAAAATAAAAATTTAAATAATTTCATAAATTTATTGTTTATTATTTATAGTATGGCACTACACTACCCTGAATGGTGCTTAGATCTTATAATGATAGTTTACAATTTTCTTTCAAGGTAGTAAGTTAAATGATGTTTGTATTGATTTAATGAATTAGGTATTAAATGCTTTTGAGTTACTTTTACTTTTGGAATCAGGAATGCAAAAAGCTTGCGGCGCGTTTTACCCAGTAAATACCACCCGGTTTTACTGGTTTTTTTAAAAAATTAATTTCTTTTTTTTTCTTTGTTATATTAAAGAGCTATTCTATTGAAATATATATGTAGTCTAGTCTAAAAAAATGAACCAATATTGAAAAAACTAATGATAATCTGAAAAGAAAAAATATTTGAGTAATTCATGAAGAAAAATGTATTGGTTTCATATGAAAAATAGAATAATTTGAGTATAAATCAAAGTACAATAGAAGTTATTTCATAACGATTTTAATTCAAAATAAACACAAACAGAGGAAATACATTATAAATTGGCCAGTTGTCAGTGTTATAGATCTAGAATTGGTGTTATAGATCTAGAAATGGTGTTATAGATAGATATGGACCAGCAATCTAGATTTGACTGTATGGCCATTGATTAGTCAGTGCCTTTGCTTTACTTTCTATGCACACAAAAAAAAAGAAATCAAATATTTTTTAAGATCAAAATATAAATATAAAGTAATCCTGTGTTAAAATAAGTTTCAAATGTGTGATATATGTGAGTACTTATAACATTTTGTATCGTGATGTCAGAAGAAACTTTTTTCAGACAATTAATTGTATTAATTACACTTTAATTGCCTATATGTTAAGTCCATTAATTAAATTAAACTTATTTATTAATATTAGATTATTTTTTTTAAAGAAGGTAATTATCCCTGCCCTCTCTTTTGAAAAAAACCCCAATAAAACACGAAAAACCCAAAAGGGCTCAATAAAACTCAGAAAAACTGACCGGGGTTGGGTTTTGCAAAACTCACCCGGATTTTTGCAACATTGCTTTGAATTGTATTATTCAGTGGTATTTTTGATTTTGTTAAATATATTTCTGCTTTACCAATTACAATAAAATATTTTTATTTGGAGTGAGTGATGATGGTTGTGAACTCATCCTCTTCCTAACATTTGGCACTTTGACAAACTAATTGTTATAGCTCTAACAGTGCCAATAACTGCAACTGCTTTTAAAAGAGATTTTATTGCTGAAAATGAAAATAAAATCTAAAAGCTTTGGAGCGATTGGATGACCTTTCAATATTGTGTTAGTTTTGCCACCAACAAAGATGTCAATTCGAAAAAAAATTCAAGTGTACTGTTAAGTGCCTAAAACAAAACAAAAGAAATTTAAAATCCATATATTTTATTTAAAATCTTTTTTAAAAAAAAACTTTAGCCAAATTAATTTAGAAATAATGAAAAAAAAAGTTAAGAATAATGTGGAATAATGTTTTTTGTTTATAATATTTTATACTCTAGCAATAATTTTACTGTGTTTATTTTATGTAATTTATCTCTGTATAGTTAGAATCTTGTAGCTACTAATACCTAGTCAAATCAAGTATGTTTCATCACTGATTGTGGTTTTTTACAGTCTCAAGAATTGAAGTCCCAGCTCCACAACTATCAAGTCACTTTAGGTTCGATTTTGGCATCATGTATGACAAGTGATGGTAGACTTAGAAATTCCATTCCTTTAAATATTGTAATTTTATATTTATTTAGTAATTTTATTATTATTTATTTAAAAGTTAGTTTTTATTTTATTGTTTGAAATATATTCTGTAGTAAAAATTTAATTTTTAGTATGCACAGGATATCAGTGCATCTGAAAAGTCATTGAAAATCATGGGAATTCATTGATTTTAACCTTGATTGAAAATTATCATGGAAAATCATTAAAAATTCATGGACACTCCCTGTTCGTCATGGATTTGAGCTCTCGAAGCCCTTAATCTTGTCTGGCGATTAGAAAATCCTTGATCGCGATTTGTATTAACATGATTTAAGAATAGCACATTGCAATCTGCATCTGCGTGATTTAAAAATCGAACATCGTATTTGTGCAATTTAAAAACCGCACATCGTGCATCGCATTCGTGCAATTGAAAAATCCCTCATCGTGATCCATATTTGTGCAAATTCATAATCTCGCATCGCAATTTTTATTCACGTGATTTTAAAAAAAGACACAGCATCTTCGGTATTTCCTTGATTTAAAAATTTCACATTGCAATCGATATCCATTTGATTTAAAAATCACATATCATGATCCACATTCTTGTGATTTAAAAATCAAGCATCATGATAGATCCTTATTTGTGCAAATCTATAATCACACATCGTGATTTATATTTACATGATTTAAAAAATACACCATGTGATCTATACTCACGTTATTTACAATTCTTTATCACAATCTGCATTTCTTCGAGCTATAAAAATCTTATGGTGATTCGTATTTGTGTGATTTAAAAATCGCACATTAGGATTTGTATTCATGTGATTTAATATCTTCACAGTATGATACATATTTGTGCAATTTAAAAATCACCCACCTGGATATCACAGGACGTTATTTATATTGCATGATTTAAATATAAACATCATAATTCGTATTTCTTATTTACGTGATATAAAAGTCTATTATATGAACAATTTATTATCGAATTTTTAACAGTGCTGGTTTTGGCTTAAAAATTTTTCAAGTTAATATTTTTTTCTGTTAAGAAAAGAATTAAATATTTAAAGCAATTAAAAAGAATATTTCCAGTGGAAAAGTGCACCAAGCAGCAGAGAATCCGAAAGGAATTGAAACAAAAGAAACAGTGAAATATGGAAAAAATTTAAAAACAGTTGTCATATTTATCCATTTTTTCCATATTTCATTGTTTCTTTTTATTTTTTTCTGTTTAAGATTTAAAATGTATTTTTTAAAATTTAATTTGTAATTTATTTTGATTTCATTTGTCATTTTTTTCAGTTTATTTTTATTCAGAATTCTCTTTTTAAACTAATTAAAAAAAATTTTTTTTAGCTATCAATAATGAATTATTTCTTTATTAGTAATCAAAATTATGAGTTAACATAATAAAAAACATTTAAAATCTCAGTAAATTTTATGTCAATCATAAATGGAAAATATTGCAGATCATTTATAGTGCTTACTGTAATAAAATTTTTGTATTTTGGATTACAATAAAAATCCCTAAAATTCCCTATGTATGGGGAATATTTTACATATAATTAAAATATTTAGTATATTATGCGACAGTTATCAAAAAATTTATATTTTGTAAAGCCAACTGAATTTTTTCCTATTCATGTCGGCAGCTATGCATATATTGTGTGGTAGTGTCAAAGAAAATAATTGTTTAAATAATTTGTTTGAATTTTCCTTATTCAAATGACTAAATTTCGGTTGCTATATTAGAATGAACAGTTCATTTATACGGCATTGAAATAACATTATATCAAGGAAATAGCAAATGTTGCATTAGGCATTGGTCGTTATGATAAGGGGGAATTGAGTAAAGAGCGTAGTCTGTATTCTGAATTCTCTAGTTGAAATCAAACCAGTAGTAAAGCCTGCTTTGAATATTTTAACCCTTTAATTATAAATGTTGTCCTGTCTTTGTTTTTCCTAGAGATTATAATAAAACAATAATGCGATTGAGCTTCAAGTTTTCCCCATAATTAATACAATCTTAATTGTTTTATTTGACCTACAAATTATGAATTCAATTTCATGTTTATTATTTATCATTTAAATAATCATTTGTAATATTTAAGATTTAAATTCTATTGTCTCGATTTTTATTTATATTTTACTTGAAATTGTTATCTAAATTTTAATCTTATTATCTTAAATATTTACTTGGATTGAGAGATTGTAGTTTTTTAGGTAACAGAATATAATTCTAAAGTGAAACCTCAAGTAATAAGTGGGAAAAGTGATATCCCTTGGACAAAAGTTGATGATCAACACGATATTTTCATTGGAGAAGATGTGAGTATGTGATAAAATGTAAACATTAATGTAATACCATTTTTCATACTGTGTATACTTTCTTTTTGTAATATTTTGATTACTTTTTACTTTTTTTTTTAGTACTGATAATCTGTATTTAACATACAGGTATTAATTTTTTTTTCTTGTAATTTTAAGAGTCTTTTTTTCAACACTTTATAAGCACAATAAAATAATTTTTGAAACATGTTTTTTAACAATGCATTTTTTTTGAAAAAAAAGCATGTGTTTCAATTGCATTGTCTGCAATTTCTATTTAATTTTGCTCAGTTATAGTACTTAGTTATAACTTAAGTACCATAGTTTTTTTATTTATAAATCAGTATGTGAAAATATTAATATTAGTTCTTAAAAACATTTTTTTTCTATAATCTGGCATATTTTATAAGAAGAAAATATTGGTGTCTATTTCAAAAAAGAAGAAATTTACCAGTTGACGATTGTTAATTTATTGTGTGCTTTTAATTTTGACACAGAATCATACTTATGACATGCAATATTCACACTTATGATAATACCAGAAAAAAAACCAATATTTCTTAGAAACCAGATGTTGTGGTAGACACACTACAGTCACCAATGTGGGCATTGTAGTTATCAGCATTGACGACTTTCATCTATGAAAAGGTACCTAAACATAGAATCGAGTTAACATGTCATATATACTGGTGAATTGGAATTGTCTTTTGGAGTGATAGATCAGATCACCAGATCATGCTTTTTTTATTAAAAAAAATTAAGCATCTAATTTCTTGTTCATATTTGTAAAATTAGTTAAGGCATCAACTTATGGGGTGTTACTTTTTTATGGGGCCTCCTGGGATGTGAAATTACTCTTACTTTTTTGGTAAACTTCTCAGTTCACCACGGCTCACAAGAAACTGTTGTAAAAACATTTTGGTTTTTTTTTTAGAATTTTTTGTTATGATTTATATAATTTTTTTTTTCGTTTTTAGGCACTACGGTTACAACCTGGAGAAAACTTCAACATACATTGGCCAATTAGAAGAGGTCAGTTTAACTTACATTCTGGTGTTGGCGGATCGATGACTTCTGTTTTATCCGACTTAGAAGCTATATGGAGCACAGCATGTCAAAAATTACTGGATATTAGTCCTAAAGATTTAAAGGTATTATTTTTATGTTGTTATGTTTGAATTTATAGAGATTGGAAAATTTAAGAAAGCATTGTTGAATTTTATCAATCTAGAAAAGTCAGGGAATTTTTAAACAAATATTTCCAAGCATCAACTAAGTGAAAAATCAACAGTGGAAAGTGGTGGTCCCATGTGAATTTATGCTGACATTTTTGTCAGTTATTGCTGTGGATTTTCTTAGTCTTAGGTTATTACATTGATATTTCAAATATGTGGGATATTTTGAATCTCCCATTTGTAGAATTACTTTTTGATGCATTAATTTTAAATATGTACTATTTTTTATTATTTTATTTGGCAATAGTCCAAAAAATTTTGGTGCACAATTTTCTTTGTAATTTTAAAGTATCTAATTTTATGTAACAGTTCCTGAAAAATTGAATTTTAAAAAAGTTGTATTTTTAAAATTTGATTCCACAAAAACTTTTCAACTGATTTTGTTCTAATTTTATATTTTGCCATGTAAAATTAGATTCTTTAAAATTATGTAAAAATTTATATACGTCACAGTTCAAAAATTTTATGACTGCTATATAAAATAACAAAAAATAGTAAATATGTACTAAAATTAATTTTTTGCATGTAATTATCTTTGGATAAACGAATTTCATTATTCTGTGCAAAGATTTTTCAATTCGCTTTAAAACTTCTCGAGATATGGCAAAATACGCAAAAAATAAAATTAACATTAGGGGGTCTAAACTTTGGATCTCTCTCCTGAGCAATCTATGGGGAACATATTTCCCAGATTGTGACTACCCTCTTTATATTGGGAGTCAAAAATTCGAATCTGTCAAAAAAAAGGTATATTCATTCAGAGAGAGTACTTTTTTTGTCTGATTTCATAACTTAAAATATCGTCTGCGCTAATTAATTAACATATTTGAGGTCACCCCTTTGAACCATTAAAATGAAGTCTTAGAACTTGAAGATCCCATCATTTAGATCAAAAGTTATTTCTGGTGGTCCGTGTTTTTTTGGTGCACTGTTCATGAGTTGATCTTAGGTCTTCCACTTTACTGTTTAACCTTGGGAAACATAATCCTAGGCATTTCTCAGTTTAAATATTTCTGGTATTTTTAAAATATGGCTGATCCATCTCCACTTTTGCTTTTAATTTTCTCAACAACTAGCTTTTTTTTGCTCACGTTAAGCAGCGTTTCATGTTTTACATTATCAAATAATTTTATGTTTCAAATTTTTTGGTGACATGTACTTATAAATTTTTGGATTCTATTAATGAATTTATATGCACAATGCCAAATCTCAGTCTCATATGAAGTTTTAACATTAGCTTATAAATCATTGATGCTTTTAAAAAAAAATGATTAACTAGACTATGTGAATTTTGGTGATGAAATTCGTACATATAAATTGCCATTTTAAGAAGTAAAAACTTAAATGCTTTATTGCAAATCTAAGTGTTGTATTGCTGTAAAAACCATGGTTAAATTTAAAAAATATTTGCTGAAAAAATTATTGAAAAGTCATATAGGTTAAGGATTGAATCTAACACTTTATTCATAATATTGCATACCTGCTAAGTCTCCTGTTTTTTAACAAAGACTCCTGTATTTTTCTCTGTATTTGCAAAAGAAATTGAATAAAAAAAATTTTGGCGATAAAATATCTGCTGGTGGCAAAAATACCTGCCGAGTCTTTTGTTTTTTAACGAAGACTCCTGTATTTTATGACTATCTCCTGTTTACTCATATATTCTAAAAAGAAATTTAAAAGAAAAATTGGTGGTAAAATATGCATTGATGGCAAAAATACTTCTCTTATTCCTCAACAGATGTTGCTATTGCCAGTACTATAGTATGTTGAATGTTAATAGTTTAAGTAATTATAAATAATGGTTTAAAGAAACCTTTTTTAGATTAAGATTTATATACAAATTTTTTACTTCGCTAAATGTATGCGTTTATATTATTTCCAATTTTGAATTTCTCATTTTGACTTACATGATTATGCGTGACGTATCAAAAATTTACTCGTAGCCTAAAAGATTTTACTAGTAAAATCTCTGTTATTTTATTTCTCCGATGTTGGCGGGTATGATATTGGAGCTTCAATTTCAAAAACTTTATTTCTATTAGTTAAAGTAAGCTATCAAAAATTCAGAAATTTCCAAAATGTTCACATTTTGAATCAATTTGGTAATCTGACTAATTGCAGTTATACTGTAGTAGGTATAGAGAATACATTTTATATTTTGAAAATATTTTCTGGATGGAAAAGGTTATTGAAAGGTCTGATAGGTTAAGATGTGCATATATAGCAGTATTGTTCATTTTTTTTATCACTTAATGAAAAGATCAAATATATAATTGTTTTAAATCTTTTTTAATATGTTTATAACATAAGTAGAATTTGTTTTAGACCTGTACAATCAATTAAACATTTTTTCTATATTTTATTTCTTTTGAAAAATTTATCAATAGGGATTTGTCAGATATTTTAACATGGACACCTCATGTTAATTAATAAGTGATGTATATAGTTTTTGTTTGTAATTTTACTTGAATTCTCATGATTTTATTTCAGTCTTTCAGAGCTGTTCTTGTTATTTCTGATGTGTATAAAAGAGAACATGTTCGCGAAATGGTTAATCTTCTGCTGACTAGGCTTGGGTTTATGAGCTGCTTTGTCCATTTGGTAAATATCACGTCTTCAGTCCTTATATAAATAAAATCCATTATATAATTTAAATGGAATTAATTTATATATTGATATTTTACATGTTATGAAAATGACCAAATATCTCACGAAATTTTGATTCTCACACAATGTTTTCAATGATATCCCACCTCACCCAATGAGGGTTAAGTAAGCTCAAAATCTGAAAACTCCCTGTTTCTTAAATTGCAGATTTAAATTTTCCAGGAAAAAAGTATTCCAGCTTGTCATGATTTGAGGTTCGCATATCACAAAATGAAAATGTGATTAAGATTCTTTTTAACGGAGAGATCTGAGAAAAGTAAAAATGAATCTAATTGATATTTTGAAAGACCTCATGCCACCAAATACTCTTGGCAGACTGGTCTTGACATATGCTTTTTAAGCTTGGACAATATTTGAGAGAAAGATTTTGTAGAGTAAGTGATTGGTGGTGTAAATGAAAGCAATAACTGGAGAATTAGATTTAACTTTGAACTGTACAAGATTTATAAACAACCTGATATTATTAAATACATAAACATAAGTAGAATGAATTGGATGGCCAAAGTTATTCGAATGAGTGAGGACAACACAATAAAAAAGATATTGCTTTTTAGACCCACTGAAACAAGAAAGTAGGGCAGTTGAGATGGATTGATTTGGTGGATTTTCAGGCTATTAATGAAAGGAATTGAGGATCAAAGATGAATCATAAGTTGTTATGTAGAAATCTTCAGAGGAAGGCATTGGGTGTCCGGACAACTTTGATGATGATGATGACTACGACAAAGTTTATCTCAACCTACAGCTGGCACTAGAGTGACTCTCTGGGTTTGGGGTCATTAAATGCATCCTATGAAAGCATTTAATGCCTGTATTTTTAAATTAATGATCCAATGCATTTTTTTCAAAATATTTGACTGTTATGGACACCCTGTTTTTTGACTTAATGTTACTGAGTGAATAACTTATGTATATAAATAAAAATGAAAAAGTATATTTCATTAGGAATCTGTGTGTGCAACATTTGGTGCGGGGGTTAGTTTTGCTTGTGTTGTTGATGTTGGTGATCAGAAAACTGCAGTTTCTTGTGTAGAAGATGGAATATCACACAAAAATACTAGGTTAGTTTTCTAAGAGATTTCTATAACTTTTTTTATTCAATGATTCTTAATTTATAATCTAATGTTCATTAAGTAATCAATGGACGCTCTAAATGTTTTGATTGTCTGGATTTGTGTAGAAGATGGAATATCACATGAAAGTACTAGAATTTTAATTTTTTTTTTTGGTTTTTCAATAAATTTCAATGATTTTTTTTATTTAATGATTCTTAATTTATAATCTAATGATCATTAAGTAATCAATGAATGTTTAAATGTTTTGATTATCTGGATTTGTGTGGAAGATGGAATATCACATAAAAATACTAGTTTTTTTTTTCATTCTGGTTTTCTAATATATTTCTATGACTTTTTTTATTTAATGATTCTACTTTTTATAATAAAATGATCTTTAAGTAATCAATGAACATTCTAAATGTTTTTCGACTCCTCAAGGGTGCCACTCTTCAGTCCAAGGGACTGGAATCAGTCTTGAGAAAAATCGGTAGACTNTTTTTTTTTTTTTTTTTTTTTTTTTTTTTTTTTTTTTTTTTTTTTTTTTTTTTTTACATTCGAATATCCCTTTTTTCTTAATTTAGCAGAAATTTTCTGATAAAAGTAAAATAATACATTTTAATTAATTTTTTTTTTATTTTTCTTAATTATTGCGAAATGAAATATCAAGTAATGATGTCACACCAAAGGGAAAAAATGAGATTAATGCTTCTATTACAAAAATATTCAAAGACGTAAGAGTTATGTAAAAAATGAGGGTCTGTAAAAAAAAAATGCTTCAGTGCTTGCTTTAAAATTTTTACTATTGTTGTGTCTAAATTTGCTTTAGTTTTCATTTTACCACAATGTTTTGAAATGCTGATCAAAATTAAATTAAAAAAAATTTTAAAGAAATTTTTAGAGATAAGAAGAAAAATAATGCTGAAGCAAAAAATAACTAGAGATATAAATAGCTTTATGAAAAATTTGGTGTTTTGTTATTTTGGTATAAAAGGATGCATAGAGGTAGCTGTTATTTTTATCTTTATTGCTGCAAAAAAATAAATTAATAAAATGAAAAAATTTTTTAGAAAAATATTTAAATCATTAATTTAATATATGTGCCATTATCGTGAAAGGTTCATTTTCGAGTCAGTGACAGGGTTCCCACGGTCCTTGAGAGTCCTTGAATTTTTTTTTGCTAAATTTAGGTCCTTGAAAGTGCTTGAAAAACGTCTTAGGTCCTTGAAAAACTTGATAGGTCCTTGAATTTGTCCAATACTGCCGGCGGCCCTTTTTATAAAACACCCGCGGATCTTTCTCGTTCTTTCTGTTTTGTTCCCGAGCTCTCTCACGTGGTTTTTAACGCCACCGTTTCTAACCGGGCCTAGCGTCTTGGTGTCTGCCAAGCGCGCGGAGCACAGCAGACAATCAATGCGTTCGGGGCGAGACTCCACTTCATCTTCTGTCGCATATGCTTAGATCTTCTTTTTTCTTATCGAAACTGGAATACTCTCGAATTTCGTAACAATATGTACCTTGTAGTTTTCAATAAATTTGCCGTTTTACCATCCGCACTTGTCCTTACGTTTGCGTCATTTCAAAACTTTATTGTAAAGCGTATTCGCAAAGGCACGGCTTCGTATTTGTGTTATGTAGTTTAGACTAGTTATGCCTGGGAAGTGCTATTTTAATCCCCAATGGATGGATAATCAAGCTTATAAAGAATGGATTTTATCGATGCCCGAAAAGAAGTTCAGAGCCAAGTGCCGATTATGCATGAAGGAGATCGATATCGCGAAAATGGAAGAATCTGCTCTGAAATCACACATGAAAGAAAGGTAAAACAAAAAAGCAGTCTCATGCCCTGAGTTCTCTTTTTCCAAAGACATCAACATCTAATTCATCTGGTGTAAATACTCCTTCAACATCGTGTGCCCCATGTGAAACAGAAACTTTAGTGGCCGAGGTAACATTGTCTTCTTATCTGGTCAAAAGGAATGTGCTTGATGCTGAAATTCTCTGGAGTCTGAAGTGCATCACTAGTAATTATTCATGTAACTCCTGTGAAGGGATTAGTAAATTGTTCTCCAAAATGTTTGCTGATAGCTGTATAGCGAGACAATTTTTTTGTAGTGCCACAAAGTGAGCCTATTTGGGCTCCTTTGGATTGGCACTATACTTCAAAGGGATTCTTATAAATGAGCTGAAGAATGTTGATTGCTACACTGTACTCTTTGATGAGACGTTAAATCAGTCTCTACAATCTAAGCAGATGGACATTATGGTAAGGAATTGATAATAAAGTTTGCACTAAGTATCTTACCTCCCAATTTATGGGTCATGGAACTGCAGAAAATATTTTGTCCTCTTTTTACAAATGCATGGATGATGGTTAAAAGCTCTCTAAAATACTTCAATTATCCATGGATGGACCCTATGTCAATTGGAAATTCTATTAGAAGCTTCAGTGTGAATTAAAAGAGAAATATTCCCACCAGGTCATATTCATTGGCAGTTGTGGATTACACATAACGAATAATGCTTTTAAACATGGTGAAAATGGGATATGTTCCTTCTAATTTTTATTTTCAGAAAGAATTGTTGCTGCATAACATTTAGAGAAGGTTGTGTAAATTATGGATGAATAATTTCAGAAACGATGTTTAATAGAGGAGAGGAGGGGGTTATGGAATAGTCATGGAATATGGAATACCTAAGATTTAGCTCTGTCTTTCATGCAGCCTTCACATGGAAATACACAGGATTAAAGGATTTCACCATTAACACCTCATTACCATTAGTTATAGATTGTGCTGAAAATGATTTTGTGAATTAATATGTAAAACCAGTAGGGTTGTTTTTAAAAAAATATAAATTTTAGTCCATAATACATATACTCTCTTCTCTCTATATAGGCAAAGCATTTAGGTATTATATTTGAAATTAATTATTGCCACAACAAGCATTGTTGCTTCTAGTAAAATAGAAGAGAATAATTTTTAAAATTGGTCTTAGATTAAGGTCCTTGAAAATTTTGTTGAGGTCCTTGAAAAGTCCTGGAAAGTCCTTGAATTTCAATCTCGTCATAGAGTGGGAACCCTGAGTGAGCTATAAATTTCCGAAAATTCTGGTAAGCAATGTTAGATGATGTTAATTGGTAAAAAAAAAATTTTTTTTTTAGAGGGGTGAACTCAAGTGTTGTTTTCTAATTGTTTTCTAATTGTTAATTTCTAATTGTTGTTTTCTAATTCTCTAATTGTAAATGTATGTCACAATAGGATTTAAATACATAGGTCAGGTGCAGGTAATTTGAATTTTCAAATGTGACATCTTGGAGGTCATTCACTAATTAATTTTTGTTATTAATGTTGTAATGCTACATTTTGCAATTAAATTGAGCTTTTTATTGTTGATTTTGCTATCAAAGTCTCAAATTTATTTCAATAGTTTTATTTTTAGATAGCTATATCAATAGTTATATTTGATTAAAATGTCATATTGTTATCTTTTCATTATTCCTGGATAATCAATGTGAATAATTATTTTGATAATAATAATAAATACTTTAATTTTAATAAATAATACTTACAAATAATTAGTAATAAATACATTTAGTTAAAACTTCCTGATCAACATTTCAATATTCCATGTTAATTTGAGCATTTTTCAAATGCATACTGATCTGAAATAAATGGATACTCTTATTAAAAGTTATAAAATGTTGCTATAAATCAGTATTATATTGTTTTAAAGAATATGTTAGTTTTTATTCAGCTATTTTTCTAACGACTTTCATTTTTCATTGATTTTTAACTTTTTAATTAATGATCATTTTCAATTTCTGATATATCACTTACCGAGTATTTTATCATTATTAGTTTATTTAAACTTACTCCACTCATTTGTTAAAGGCCTGCTTTCTCCTATGCAATATTACTTTGTGTGAAAAAAAGAAAAGCCTACATAGGGTTGGTGGATTCTAAAATCCACTACATATAAGCTCCTTTTTTTTTTTTTTTAAGCGTTTGAAATTTTTTGTATAACCTTTTATAAGGTTATGAGAATTATATTGCTGTCCAACTTCATTAATTTTAAAATGTTGATTGAAAGCTATTTTCTCTGCTATAATTTGTGTAGCCATCTGCTGATAACTTTAGGAAATGCAACAAGACAGCAAGCAATGCTAATTTTACAAAAATATGGGCAACAGTGAAGGTTTTATGGGATTAAAAAAAGAGGCCAAGACTAAGGAGTACTCGTGTGCACTATATTTTAATAATTTTCTCATTTATCATTGAATTTATTTGTTGTTATGAGCTTAGAATTTATTAATTTGGTTGTTTGTAAGCACAGAAATTCAAGTCAATCTTCAAGTCAATTCAAGAAATTCAAGTCAAGACCAAATCTTTACATTAATTAAAATTTTAAATATCCCATCCCACAAAAAAGAAAAAAAAGTTTAAGAATTCAAATTAATTGTAGATAGGAGCTGAATGAATTTCTTTTTATGAACCAATCTCAAAAAATAATGCTACTAATGCTACATAAGCTGCCAGCTCTACTGGCTGCCAACTTTACAGTGGACTATTGGATTTTTGCCAGTTTCTCCTGATCTTCCTGTTTTAACAAATATTCTTTTAGTTTTTGTACATTTTGGAAAATTTCCTAAAATTGAACTTTAAAAAAAAAATCCCTATTGAAATAGTATATTTTTCTCAGATTTTTGCTTGGTTAAATATTTAAATAAGTATTACTAATACATAATGAAGCAAGCCTTATTTATAGAAATCAGTTTAAAACTTTTTTTTTTGCTCTAAAATGTAAAGTTTATTTTTACTCAGAACTCCCTTTTTAAATTAATTAAAAAGCATTTTATCTGTCTTTGATGAATTAAGTGCTTATTACTATTTAAATTTATGAGAAACAAAATACGTAACATTTAAAGTATATTTATTTAATGTCAATCATAACTGGAGAAAATTGTAGTTTTTCTATTTTGATGACTATGAAAATCCATAAAATTCCCTTTGTGAAAAATAATTAATACATTATGCAACAATTATCATGAAATTTATATTATTTTGTAAAATCTACTGAATTTCTTTCTATCCATGTTGGTAGCTATGTTACTGGAAAAATGGACCTATAAAGGGTTAATAAAGGTTAAAAAGTGGAATTGTGATGTTCCTTCATATCTGTGTGACCTTATACAAAAACAGGGTGCATAGCATTTTTAACAAGTGCTTAAAGGTGCTTATTTTTGATTTACATTTCTTAAAAGCCCTTAAAAGGGCTTTTTTTACTCAGGGTTTGTAAAAAGTGCTTAATTTTCTATATTTAAAAAAGAGATTTTTTCTTTGCCGTGTCGATTGTCATTCTAAATTACAAAAAATGCATGATTTTCAGAATTACATCTGCAATATTTCTAAAAACTACTTATTTTATCATGATCATATAAAATTTTTGAATTTTATTGATTTTATGTTTATAAATTTAGAACTTTACACCATAGAAAAAAATAATTTTTATTACTGCACAAATCCTAATTAGGATTTTTTTCTGGAAAGTGAGTAAAAATATTTTTCAAGTGCTTTAGAAGTACTTAAAAAGTGCTTATTTTTTTTTGAAAAATCTAGCTATGCACCCTGAAAAAATTTATAAATATTACACTGTATCACCAAGATGGGATGTTATCAACTTTTTATTACACATATCTTATTATTTTTCACCTTAATCTAAATAGGTTATAGTGGTTATTAGCAAATAAATAATTTTTAGTTCATGTTACAGTAAAAGCACTTGACGCTTGTAATGAATATTAAATTAAAAAATGTTTAAATAAAAAAAATATTAAAATTAATTGTTTTGAATTTCAATATAAATATAAGTTTTATTTGAATAGGCTCAACATTAATTATGGAGGAAATGACATAACACGTTTATTCCACTGGTTTTTAGGAAAGTTAAGTTTCCCTTACAAATGTTCTCCAGAACTTCCATTAGACTGTTTAACTGTACAGGAGTTAAAAGAACAACTTTGTCATGTAAATTTGGTAAGTACTAATATACCTGCCGAGTCTTTTGTTTTTTAACGAAGACTCCTGTATTTTATGACTATCTCCTGTCTACTCATATATTCTCAAATTTCTCTGTATTTGTAAAAGAAATTTAAAAGAAAAATTGGTGGTAAAATATGCATTGATGGCAAAAATACGCCTCTTATTCCTCAACAGATGGTGCTATTAACAGTACTACAGTATGTTGAGTGTTAATAGTTTAAGTCGAGCCGTGGTGGCTCAGGGCATAGAGCGTTTGCCTTCCAATGAGGTGAACTGGATTTGAATCCCAATAATGACTGGTCAATACGAATTCCGCATCCAGTTTGCACTGACTACAGTGCTGACATAAAATATCCTTAATCGTTTAACTTTTATCTGTGTTTTTCGAGTTATTTACTGTGCAGCTAATATCTTTTTGTGTGTCGCAATTATTGTGCAAAATGAATTGTTAAGATATACATCATCCTAATTTTCTCTATTTTATGTTATTTTTTTCTTTGTAAAATTCGCGATATTGATAAGTTTAAGAAATAAATTGATGCTGAAACGTTGTTTAAAACTTTTTTGTTTATTATTGTTTTGATTTGAGTTTATACTTAATCTTGATCAACCTATAAGTCAAAAATTAGATGGTTGAAGTAATTAATTTTAAGTTTTCCTTTTTTATTAAGCCAGTTTATACTTACAATGGTACCATCAAGAATTATTAGCATAATCAAAAATTATCAGTACATTTAAAAGTTATCAGCACAAGATAAAAAAGGCCAATAGAACAACTGTTAAGTAGAAATCTTTATTTATCAATAATTATTAATTTTAATGAATAACTTAGTGATTCTTTATATACATCCAGTTACATAAGAACAATACTAATTTAAATATAACAAAATATGTATACGTTTATAAAATGTATATTCTCAATGTGAAAAATGTGTGTAAACTGTAAATATTTGGAAAGTAGAAAGTAAAAGACCTGCACACATTTTTTTTTTAAATAAGAAAATGTGTATATATAGCAGGTTTGTTACTTTTATCATTGTTATCTTAGCTACTGTACGTAAATAACCACTGTTTTTAAATATAGTTTTAGATTTTTATTTACTTTGGAAACATTTTGATCAAAGAAAATTTCCTTCAAATCTTTTCACAATCATAATTACCTTCACATTTTAGAATATTAATGTTAACATTATTTTACAGTTTATACTTCTATAATTTGTGCATTTTTTTAAAAAACTTATGAAATGAGTAAACAAATTGTACTGTTTTTTATTTGTTATGTGGGTTTCTGATTATTATTATCAGGAACCCACTTTATTTTGTGAACATTATAGTTCACAAAAAAAAGGTCATCCCCGAATAACTTTCGATCTAATGATCGGAGTTTCACTTTCTAGGACTCTGTCTTAATGGCTCAAAAGGGTGACCTCAAATATGCTATGTAATAAGCACAGACAACATTCGATGTTACGAAATCTGTCACAAAGCGTACTTTCTCTGAATATCCATGAATTTTTTTTTCTGACAGATTCAGATTTGTGTCCCTCAAAATATAGGGAGGACCCGCAATCTGGGAAATATGGTCCCAATAATTTGGTTAGGAGAGCGCTCCAAAGCTTGGACCCCATAATGTTAATTTTACTATTTGTGTATTTTGCTATAATTGTAGAACTTTTTAAGAGAATTGAAAAAATCTTGCACATAATTATAAAATTCATTTATCCGAAGATAATTCCATGCAAAAAGTTACTTTTAGTAAATATTTATTATTTTATTTCATAATGGTTGAAAATTTTTGAATTGTAAGCCATACAATTTTTGCATCATTTTAAGGAGTATACTTTGGCAGAATACAAAATTAAAGCAAAATCGGTTGAATAGTTCCTGAGAAATCGAATTTTTATTATCTGACTTCTTTGAAATTCAATTTCTCAGGAACTATTCATTTGATTTTGCTCGAATTTTGTAATTTGTCGTGTACATGCACTCTTAAACATGCACTCTTATTGTTATGATTTTTTAAATTACATTTGATGATATATCCAGATTATAATATCTATTTTGAGTGGATTTTAAATATTTATATTTTTACATATTTTAATAATGTGTATTTGAAATTAGGACATCTATGGAGTTCAAGACAAGTACTTTACCATTAAACGTCCAAGTGTACCAGTTTTACGCTATGGTATAAAGGTAAATTGTTTTTCTATATGAATTTCAAGTTGTAAATGTTTGAATTTGTATGGAACAGTCTCTTTTTCCAATCTCCATTTTTCTCAAAAGTTAAGTGAAGAAACAAAACTTGTAAAACTCATTCCAAATAATGAAATAAATTTTTTTTTATCTCCTTGTAATTTGTAATATTTAAATTTCTATTTCATTAGTGATATCCATGAAACATTTAAATTTTTTATTTTTACATAATTAATTCATGAAACATTCTTTTCCTCCTGTCGAACAAGTTTTGTCTCTTTTGTTTACTTTTCTCAAAAGTAAACACAAGAAACAAAACATGTCATGTTAATTTAAAATAAAGGGAAAAAATTTGCCTTTCTATAAATCAAGATTTTTAAATTTCTATTTCATGAGTGATACCTTTATAAAAGTATAATTTAATCCATGAAACATTCTTTTTTCATTTTCACATAACTTATCCATAAAATAGACTACTGGAGTTTGTCAGTTTTCCCTGGTATACTGATTTAATAAAAATTCGCCTGGATTTTTGAAAATTGAGTAAATTTTATCTAAAAGAAAACCTGTTCAAAAAAAATTTCACACATTTTATTACATGTTTAAATAAGTCATCAGGAATAGTAATAAATTTAAAGCTTTTTCTCTTTTTTTTTCGGTTAAAAATTTTTTAGCTTTTTTTTTTATTCTGAACTTCCTTCTTTAATGAATTAAATGTCTATTACTATTCAAAATTGTGAGTAATCAGAAATGGAAAATGTTGCAGACAAATTTTAGTTTATTAGTGTATTGTATTTGAATGACTTAAAGAATCTATAAAATTCTCTGTGTGTACAATATTTGATATATAATGCAACAGTTATTATCAAATTTATATTATTACGTAAAATTTACCGAATTTTTTTCTGATCCATGTTGGTACTATGATCATACTTTTCTTGTTTGATATTTGTATTCACTCTTCAAGGGTCCTCTTGTTAGTCCTCTTGTGTGGTTTATTTTAGAGTTTAAACATGTCGGCAGCTATCTTGATGCATGTTATTTATCAATACATCCAGGCAGACCAGGACCAGCATATTATTTTTAACACATTTTTACTTAAAGTATCATATTAATGAGTATTTTGAAGTACATGCAATATCCAAAAAAAATCTAGTTATTACCAATTTTTAGTTATTTACCAAATTTTTATAAAACTAAAGCATCATTTTGATAAAATTTATCAAGTATATTTTTGCTGCGAATTAACATTTATGGTATTTTTTATGCCCTAACGATATGATGACCCCTCATTTTAACGTTCACTTTCGGCGAACCATGAGGGTCGTTATATTGAGCATAATCTGTATTGACATTATTGTGTATATTTCTTGTCTATATAAAAAGTAATGAGAGATTTGCTGAGGTTAAAAAATTTTATGATTTTAACAATTCAAAAAATTTTGAGTTTTATGCATTTTCATCTTTATTGTTTTCCCCCCTAAGGTAGGCGATGAATGTTTGATTGCTCCACTAGCTTTATTTCACCCAGAGTTGTTTGGCATCACAGGTCCTAAAAAGGTTCAAACTCACACTCGAAATGAAGGATTGCCAGACGATCCTTATGATGAACAGTATCTTATTCAAACTCAAGTATGTATTCTTCCCATTAGATAATAGTATTTGATTCTCTCCATATTCATAAAATATCTATACATTTTTCTAAAATTTCTGTACATTTCCGAATGTAAGTCGATCTGTGTATTAGCCAAAGAGTACACTTTCTATTTTGAAATTCAACCAAAATTCAAACTTTGTATATAAGCTGCCATGCGCAAAAAAAAAAAAAGGCATGCTACGCTTGGAAATAAAAATATTCCACCTCTCTTGTAGTAATGGTTACACTTTGGCCAAAAGAACCTCCCATTATCGTAGTTATATTTTTTAAGCAATGTTGCTTCACATTAACTTAACTGTAGGGATGAAATCATTTAGTCTATGAAGAGACAAGTTAAGATAAAGGCACCCGGAATCTGCAAATTTGAAATGGAATTTATTTGATTTTAGAGTTTTTTTCTTTTTGTTTATGTGTTGTCAGTCACCTAAACAAAGGTAAGCAAGAAGATTAAAAAAAACAATAGTATTTATGTTCCACCTCCCTTGTAGTAAGAGAAGAGAATCTCTTGTAATCATAATTAGCTCTTTTTAAACAAAGCCATGTTTTTGCTTTCAACATTCACCAATAACAAAGGCCGTAGGAAGCTTGATATTTAGCTTGAAGTTGCAATAATAGGGAGCCACTTAAAGTAAATATTCTTTAAATACTGTTAAAGATTTAGATTGTTTTACAAAATTGCAACTTTTTTTCTCTTCTTTAAATTTTTTTAAAACCTCAAACATGGTGCTCATTCACTTAAGACCCCCTACCCAGGCATGGTGGAAGATAAAACAATGTTTTTGTTATTATTCATGCTTGGTGGGTGCTTCATTATGAGTACTCAAAACAAATTGACTTCCTTTAATACAAATGCTTTCATTGACAAGTATATATTGCTGTTTCATTTTAAAATTGACGTAATTTCGTTGTTTCAGAGACGTGGTGTGAAGGACGTAGCTGATGGTCATCCTGACCAATCTGCTCTGGATGAATCTCATTTGAATGCTAGTCTATTGGAAGAAGACATGGATTCAGCTGATCCACCCACTAATCCAAATGCTAAAGAAATGGAAGATATCAGCTGTGATCAATTATTTGGAGTTGATCAAGCTATCCTTCAAAGCATTGAACGTTGTGGTATGCTTTTATATGAACATACTTTTTTTTAAAAAAATTTTATGATCTGTTATTGTTATGATAATTTTAAATTTAAAAAGAAACGGAAGCATTTAACTGTGAGAAGTATGACTGCTTTGATTTGAGTACAAAATATGTACAGGGTGATCCTACGAGATCATGGGATAAACTTGGAGGGGTGGTTGATTATGCAGAAACATGTTTTTCGTTTAGGAATGTATGGTTTAAAATGACGTGTTAATGTACAAACATAAAAAAATCACGCTTGTGGAAAAATGTGTTTATTTATAAAATCAACGCTAAGTACTTCTTGGCCACAATAAATGCTCTGATCACTATTAAAAAAGCAAACTGCAATCGGCAGCTAGAAAATGATGGTAGGTTGGAAGATTGTAATTTGCTACTGTGATTTTGCCCATAGTTGGTGAGTATGTATTTAGGGTTGCCACTCCACAGGGAAAATCTGGAAAATTTAAAAATCGCCTAAAATAACAGGGAATTTTGTTCTTATTTTCGTCTTTCAAAAAATGGTGGCCACTTGAAGTGTCTATGAGAGATTTCAGGATATTTCAGCCATACTAAACTATTTAATTTACTATAACTTTATTTGTTTAAAATATGTTCAGTGGTACCTTTTTTCTCTAAGTTCCTCCACTAATTAAATTTAGTATAGTTAGAACAGCACACAAAAGCTCAGTGATAGTGTGTTTCCTCTTAAAATATTTTGAATAATATGTAAAGGGTATAGGTAGGAACTTTTTTGTCCAGATTTTTGAGTAGCGACTCTGATTGTATTTTTTTCCCCTCTGCTAGTTAGTAAAGCGATAGCTTTGAAAGCTATCGCTTTACCAAATTTTTCAAGCTATCTGCGACAGGACTATAATCTTTTTGCAAGATACTTTTAATAATAACTTACCAATTTAAAATAACAAAAGCACAGTGTTCATGAAATATTATATATATATATATATATATATATACTATTTTTTTGAATGAACATGTAATGATTTTTTATTCTAATATTATCGGTGATATTCTCACATTTTGTTGGAGAGGGGAGAAGCACAAAAATTATTTTCTTCTTCGCTTGATTGAGTAATTGCTGAGAAACGATCGCCAACGAATTCGCACAAATCGGACTTCTCGAATGTGTGCGTTTCGTTTGGGGATTAGATTGTTGTAATAAAAAATATTGGATTTATAAAACAAGAAATCAATAGCAATATTATTAGAAAGTAATTAAAATCAAATGCACAATTCGAATTTTCCATATTGTTTGAAATATATTGGGATATTTTAAATCCACGTGAAAATCAATAGCTGACAAAATACAATCGATATATGATACTATCGGCCAAAAGTAATTATTATCTAAAGGTATGATTCAAATATTGCATTCTGTTGAGAAGAAATGTAATTTTTTTTACTTTTTGATAGAAAAATCTTCCCGCAAGAACTTTGAAACGTTCTGCGACAATATATTTATAGGTTCAATATGCATTGTCAACCTTATACAAGCAGTATCTTTTTGCTTTATGACTCATAATTGCACTTTTCCTCCTAAAATGTCCCCTGAACTTCATCTATTTTCCACTCCCAAACTTTTTTTTTTCCTAAAAAAGAAAAAAAAAGTTTTTAACATATTATGATGATTTGGGAAAATTACAGCTCTTTTTACTTGCGTTTTACCATATGATTATAATGTAGGATGTGGTTTAAAAAGTTTTTAACAAATTTCATTAAAGATTGCCAAAACCCCAACATTTTATTATGTTTACCATTAGACGCCATGTGAATAAGTTCGATGTAAAGACATATTGATTTATTATAATATTTATTAATCAAGATTATCTATCAAGCTTTTAACAGCTAAACCCGATGTTGTCAATTTTTATCTTCCCTTAAACTTGAAACAATTTTCTTTATCCTTGTTTAGATTCTGAAGAAGTGAAGAGAAAAATGTATAGCTGTATCTTATTTGTTGGTGGAGGCATGATGTTCCAAGGAATTCATTCATGGTTTCACAACAAATTCAGGACTCTAGTTCCGAGAATGTACAGGGCAGATCCCTATGACATAATCACCAGGCCTAAAGTAAGTTAAAAAAATTTTGATAGTCAAAATCAATAGTTCCAAACCTTTTTTAGTGGTGCAAACCACCACTGGTTCTGTAAATCTACAAACAGACATCTATCATAGCTGCCAACAAAGATAGGAAAAAATCCCGTAGATTTTAGTAAATTATTTAAAAATTGCATGATGTACTAAATATTTTACACATAGGGAATTTATGGTCATTAATTAGTAAAAATGCTTTATATTTACTCAATATTAAAGATTTTTCAGTTTAATTGAAAAAGGGAGTTCTGTATAAATATAAACATGAACATTTTAGAACAAAGTTTTACATTTATTTTTATAAATGAGCTTTCATCATTATGTGTTACTTATTTAAATAGATTCAAGCAAGCTTATAATCTGTGAAAAGATTCTATTTCAGTAGGGATTTGTTTTAGAAAACTTACTCAATTTTAGGGAATTTTCATTAAACCTGTAGTATATAGTAGAGTTGACATCTATATAAAAATTACTGTTCAAATAGAATTAATAAATTGAACTCATTTAATAGCTAAAACCAAATACCTTTATTCACCTTCAAAGTAACATCAGTTAGTGGCATGCACTTTTGACATCATCAATGAAGTGAATGATTCCTTTTTTTTTGTGTGGAGTCAATCAAAATACTAATGTCACATCTTCTATGAGTGCATCACAAAATCGAAACAGATTTTGGGGTTGGTTGGGCAGTTCCAAAGAGTACGGTACATCGACCAAAGGTCTATTGCTCATAAACTCTAAATCGTGATTAGCAAAAAAAGTCTTCTAGCTAAAACAAAGCTCAGCAAATACCTGATAGGAATATCTTGTAATTACCAGATCTTAATGCAGTGTTGCCCATAATGCTCGAATATTTGAGCAGAATAGACCTCACAATCACACAGTATATGTCGTGAAGTCTCCTCCTCAAGATGACGACTTCCACAAAGAGAATCAGATTCAATACCCATAATGTAGAGGTGTCTCTGTCCTGTGAGAAGACCAATGATCTTCCTCAAGTTATTCCTGTTGAGCTGAGGAAGCTCTTTTTGATGCAAGCTAGGCAGCCACGATTCATCTCTTTAGCTTGTCTTTGACCATCCGAGTTATGCCATTGCGCATGTGCTGTAGAGCTTGAATATAGATTTCTTGAAGGATGTGAGAGAAATTCCCAAGGCTGGTTCAGGGCTCTAGAAAATCCCACTAGAGCCAGCTCATAACTTTTTTTATTTGCGCTTACTCAAGTCTTTTGCGAATTAAGGTTGTACATTTATTCCCAATTTCGATTTTGAACAGCATCTGTTGTCTCTACATTATAGGTATTGCATCACAGGTTGTTGGATGTTTTTTGCCTCGTCTGCTTAGATTCAACAGTCAACCCAAACTGTGTTCTTCAACTGTGTTTTCTTTTTCACCCTAAAAACACTCAAGCAAAATTTAAACAACTTTTAAATTCATTTTCGACTAGCGTGTTCTTTACTCCTTAACAAACACTTGTTGATGTTTACCAACAAAACATGGTCATTTTATGAATGCTGTAGAACAGCCTAATGTTCAACTCCATAGGCTTGTCATTTTGAACCCAATCCAGGAGACAAGAAAACTCCTGGATTAAGTATTGGGAGAAATTTGCCTTTGGGAGGACTTTTTGATGGAACTAACCCGCATTTGTGCTACATGGAAAGGAAGACCAAGAGAACCTCCCACAATTAGCCTGATGGCAAGGGGACTAACACATTATACGTCTACCACTGAGGATATTTTCCGTCAGCATTGTTGTCAATGCAAGCCGGATGTGGAATTCGTATCAATCAGCCATCACTGGGATATGAACCCTGTTCACCTCATTGGAAGCCAAACGCTCTATCTTCTAAGCCATCACTGCTCAAAAGATATACTTTGGAAATTCTGGACAATGCTGTTCTCCCAACTCTATGGCAATATTTTTTAGGGGAAGGCTTATTTCTCTTACAGCTGGATAACTGCTCCATTCACACATTGACAAGGTTTCACAAAATGGGTGTTCAAAAACTGTACTGGCCTTCTCAGAGCTCTAAATTTCATTGAACATCTTTGCTGTGAATTAAAAAAAATCAATTATCCTCATTGCCAGCTGGGAAGGACATCTAGAAGTAAATTCCTATACTACTCACCAAACACAGATAGTAAGTCTCCTTAGTCCTGGGAGGGAGTCATGGTGGCTCAGAGGATAGAGCATTCTCTCTCCATTTGCATAAAATATCATCAGTAGTTGATGGATCATGGGTTAAAGTCTCCTTGCCATCAGACTGACTGTGGGAGGTTTTCCTCTCCATGTAACACAAATGCAGGAAGGCAAATTTCTCCCAATACTTGATCCAAGAGTTCCCTTGTCTTCTGGATTGGGTTGAAAATTACAGCTATGGATTTGAATACTAGTAGTCAGAAACCCAAAAATTAGGTCAACTGTTCAACGACGGTTTTAAAATTTAATGAAACATCCTATTAATTTGTGTCTCACGACTATCTGAATGTTTACCCCTAGGCTATTTAACGAAGTTGCTAAATCCGGATTAAAAGTTCGTTATATGGAAAAAATTTTAAACAAAAAATCACCTTCGAAGTACTTAAGCAACATAAAGCAGGTTTTAAATTCATATACACTAGACATAATTGAAATGGCAATTGATACACCTTTATCTTGTGAACTTGTATCTACTAATTATAAAAGAAATCATTATCCAGTGTTACACTAGCATGCTACATATATTTTCAACTAAAAAGAAAGCTAAATTTATGTATTAAATTATAGCTGCATTTATTATAAAAGTATTGGTAAGCATAAATTACCACATGCGTTTTTAAGTTTAATTGCTATTGATAAAAATCTGTTAATTTTATCTGAATTTTTCGTTTGAAATGCAAACAAAAAGGGAAAGGGATTTTACTGCTTTCTCTATAAGTTAAGTGACTACTGAAATCAATTCAAGGTCATTTCCTCCATGAAATTCTCTGAAGTATTTTGGGAAAGTGGATCGCAAAGAAAAGTTCGTTAAATAGAAAATTCACTTCTCGATTTGGAAGTTATTTTACGAAGAAATTTCCAAAATGTTTTTGGTTCCTCGAAAAAAAATTGCAAAATGGGAAGTTGTTTAAATAGAAGTCCAACTGTACTAAAATTTTTAGAATATTAAATTTTGTTATTTAAATGCAACCTGTGCAATGAAAATATGTGAATACAGTCGGACTTCTATTTAACGAACTTCCATTTTGCGATTTTTTTTGAGGAACCAAAAACATTTTGGATATTTCTTTGTAAAATAATTTCCAAATCGAGAAGTGAATTTTTAACGAACTTTTCTTTGAGATCTACTTCCTCTATTTCTCAAAATATTTCAAACTTGTTAACGCATTTTATGGGCGAATCGACCTTAAATCGATTTTCGCAGACACTTAACTTTTAGAGTAAGCAGGAAAATCCCTTTTCCTTTTTGTTTGCATTTCATACAGGAAATTTAGCTTTCATTAGTTGAAAATGTATGTAGCATGGTAGTGTAACACTGGATAATGTTTTGTTCTATTTTATGGTTAAGATTTATGAAATTATTCGTAGATAATAATTCACAATTACTATTTCAATTATGTCTAGTGTTTCTGAATTTAAAACTTATTTTGCGTTGTTTAAGTATTTCAAATGGTGCTTTTCTATTTAACGAATTTTTCATATAGCGAACTTTTTATCAAGATTTAGCGACTTCGTTAAATAGAGGTCCTACTGTAAATACTTTTACTTTGAAACAGGACATGGACCCTCGAGTTACTGTATGGAAAGGAGCAGCATTGATGAGTTGTTTAGATACTGCACAAGAACTCTGGATTAAAAAGAAAGAGTGGATGAAGTATAATGTAAAAATATTGAGAGAAAAGGCTCCATTCATATGGTGAATTCTATAGGAATTTTTTGTGTATAAACTGTACAGAATTTTAATAAATTTTTTTTTATGCAAAATTAGAGTAATGTTGCTTCTTTAGCAATTTTGACCAGACTTTTGCAGCATCAAAATTCAAGTATGAAAAGCAGTTTATATTAATACTGACATATCAAAATAAGTATACTATGTGTTTAAAGTGTTCCACTTTTCCTGGAAATCTCCTGGGACAATATGTCCCAATCGTCTTGAACATTGCAAAAATATCAGAATGAATAATGAAAATATTACCAGAAGTTATAGGAACCAGAAGTTACAGTTATAAAATAATCAAAACAGAAACTAAAATTTTGTTTCATGATATTTTTTATCACTAACGGGATTTATTGTCTCAATGGTAAGTATGATTGGGACAATATATCCCACAAAACAAAATGTCTACTTTTGATACTAAACAGGTACAATTATTACTAAATAAGTACAAACATAACTATTTTACACAAAATATGGCAAAAAGATAGTTGTACTTGCCTAAAAATTCAGAAAATATACGTAAATTAAAATGAGATTGACTGGCATGCTCTCAAACAGGAGTCTGTCACTTTGAATATGAGAGTGTCGCCAAGTTCATTTAGTTATATTTTTATTCCCTAATGCCTAAAGAACCCTGAAAATATAAAATCCCATGCAAAATGGGGATCTGTTTATTCATTAGGGAATAAAGTTTAACCTATTTGACTTATAATATATCCTATTTGGGTTGAAAGGCTATAAAATTATACTTTCACTCTACCAAGGCAAGTATGTAATAAAAAATTTGAACTAAATTAATTTCTTAAACCAATATGAATTATATACATAGTGTTTTCTTATAAAAGACTTTAATATAAATTTTTTTAAATCCTTGTAAAAAAAAGTATCCTGTTCATACAGATAAAGAATTTTCCTTTGTGTTAACCAACAGAGAATTATGAGTATGGAATTTCAGTCTTTATTCAATAACTATTTCATATATTAGAATACTTTTTGTTACATTTTATTCATTAACACGTTGACTGCAAAACGCGTTTACAGTGAAATCTCCTTCAGGCCACGAGTACCACAGTACGAAGCGTATTCTGCTAAGTACTCCCTCCGATATTTTAATAATGTCAGTCTCGGATGGTCACAAGAATAATTCCCCGCTCCGTTTGTTTCCATGGTATCATGTCTGTTAATCTGTGTCCATCGCATCTGTTTCTAATCTCGCCACTTTGCTTGATCAGGTTGAATCTTTGCCGAGAAAAGAGGAGTAAAACTTAAAATCTTTACCCTAATTCGTTGAAATTTCGAAAAGAAAAATAGAAAACTTATTTCTTAGTGAGTCAAATAGCAGTGAACAAGAACGCTTTTACGAGACATACAATAATTTTCTTTATAAATCATTTTTTTATTACTTTTATAACAATTCAATAGTTTAGTTATTTCCTGTGAAATATCTTTTCAGATACATACTGATATCCTTCGCAAGTAGTCAAATAAGCGTCACCCCAATACGGGTGACACGGCCCGATCAGAAACTTTGCTGTCACCCGAATATGGGTGACACGGCAGTCAACGTGTTAAAAATGTGTTCTTAGTTACAAAATTTTAAGTGCTTTGCTTAAAGTTTTAAAAATACTTGCAAGCTTAAGATTTGGTAACAAAGTCAATATAATGTATTTCTAAATATCAAATGAATTAAAAATTATTCAAAAATATTTGTTAGTTACTGAATAAATGAAGAAATTCTTGATACATAATTATTCTCTGTGCGTGAGCATAGAGGAAGTAAAATCCTTTTTCAGTCATCCTTTCAGAGAGGAAAACACAAATATGCTATTGAAATGTAATAAATCACTACCGAGGAAAGTGGAAACATCAATGCCAGAAGATGTTGATTACCACTCGAAATACCTCCAATTTTCGTAATAAAATAATCTATACATATCCTGAAATCATCCAATTACATCCATTTTACGTTCCTATTTATTACCCAAGATTTTATTTTAAATAAATTAGACAACCCTGTTTCTTGTCAAACGAAAAATGACAATAAGATATAAATGGATTTAATAATTCAATTTTTTTTATGTTAAAAAAAGAAACTCAAAATAGTTTGAAAAAAAGAAAATTTTTTTTTTCAGTTTTAAGATTTCATATCTGGCAAAATTTTGTTTTTCTGCCCTTAGTTTTTCTTTTTTTATCAAAAAACCGTCAAATTTATATACTAATGTAATAATTATTAGCTTCAAAAAATCATAATTCACTTCAATACATTTGAGTAGGCGGCCTAATATATATATATAGATTGATATAAAACAACAAAACGTGCAAAATTTCCATTTTTTTTTTAAAACAATAAATTTTGCATTTATGAAGGTGTTAAGGACGGTGAAAATTTTCTGAACGACAATCGTTTTTCACGGTAAAAAGTTATAAATAGAATTTTTTTTTTTAATGATTATCTTACTATAAACGGTCTAAGAAATATGATTGTTTACTTTATTTTGTAAAAACAAATCGGGCTAAAGTTTCAAAATAAAGTTTTGAAATTTTCAGAAAAAAAAAAGATGTTTTGAATCTTTTTAAACCCTAAAAATGCTATTATTAGTTTTAAAAAATGCGGATGAAACCTCGTTAAAATCTAAATATGGTTTGCATAATATTAGGAAAAATGAATAATTCTGCTCTTTGAATCCCGTTAGAACTACAAAATAATGTACGCGTGTTTACCAAAATGGCGAATATATGTTACCGTGAATGACCGAAATCAAGAGAATGTCGACTTTTACCGCTGAATGTCAACAATCACATAGTCGCTCTGGTCATTGTCCCAAATATTTGTTATATTTGATTTGATATTAATTTATTCGTTGATATTATTATATTTATTCGATACTTTAATATGTGCTGAGGATAAATTAGGAGAAACATCAATATTCGGAGTACCGGTTAGATGCATACTGGGCAGTGGTACTTAACTTTAAAAACAGAACAATGTAGGGTATACCGGGCAGGGGCACTGAACCTTAAAAAAACATTGGTGTGAGGTATACCGGGTTCAAATTTTAGCAAATGTAAATCCATACGAATTCAATTCACGAATGTTGTTCGTGGCTGAAACCGACCACTGTGCTGACGTAAAATATAATCAATGGTAGACAGATCATTGGTTTGGGCTAACCATGAGAGGGTTTTGTGGTATTTCCCAAAATGGTAAATGGTTCCCCGGAATATAGGTAACTTCCTTCAAAAAGGCCGTTGTTTTCAATGTATGATCCAGGAGGTCTTCTGGATAAGGTTCAAAATACAAAGCTACGGAGTAGAACATTGATAGTCATAAACCTAAAAATGTGCAGGCTGTTAAACGCCGGTTATAAAATAAAATTTGGCTGAATCATAACGTTACATTTTTAATCGTTTTTAGCATATTTCACAGATCGTAACCCTTGTGCGAAATAATAAAAAAAAAAGGTTAAAATATAAAATTCACGCCACATAAGCGAATATAATCATAAATATTTTTCACGAAAACACATCCAGTCAATTAGCAACATTGACCCCGATTACTTTCTTCAAGGTGTGGATTATTCAAAGATCTAGATTCTCATTCAACACGCTCAAGGGAAAAGAAATTTTGATGAATCAAAAAAGTGTGATGCAATGCAAGATAATCGCTTCCGTGTTTCAAATTTTACTTTTTATAATAAATTGTTTAATTTTTGAAGTCTAAACTAAAATTTTGTTTCATGNCCCCCCCCCCAAAAAAAAAATTGTGCTCAAGAAGATGCCTCGTAAAAAGTTTCTAAAAATTGCTAGTATTGTTGTGTAAACTTGAAAAATTGCTACAACATTGATAAGTATTTGTCTTAAAATCAAAACCAATAACTTTCCAATTGACCCTTTGGAGCAGAATTTTTATTAAACATATTTTTCATATTTTCTCCTTATTTTGTATTGATTTAGGTCAAAATAAATGAAAAATATTCTATTTAGCATTTTAATAATTTATGGTTATTAAATATAGCATGAAACGCGAAGTTTTTTTTTTCTGCGTTAAAGGTAAAGTCTTTTAAATACGGCTCAATTCCAAACAATTATTTCTCAAATTTGCAGTTATTTAAATCTAATAGAAATGAAATAGTTATTAATCTCTGAAATTTCTTTAATTTACAAAATCAATTATGGCTAAATTTTTTTAAATATGAATGAAAAAAAATTCTCAATTTTTTTTATTTTATATTTTAGTACAAAAATTTTTCCGATAATGTAACAGAATTTTTTAGTAACTATTACTGTTTTTTGTAATTAAAAAATACCAAAATATATTTTTGCTTGCAATTACAACGTCAGGAGGAGACAAAAAAGGACACCGGTGTCCCAGCTGCATTAAAGGGTTAAAGAATAATGTAAATGAGTATTGGGATAAGGTAAATAAGATACAGACAGGAAAACATAAATATAAGACTGAATGCATATTAGTAAGGATAAGTGAGCATGAATAAAAGAGCTAGAAAATTTAAATAAGGATGTAAAGACAGGCATAATACAAATAGAGAAGAATATCAACACAGGAATAATGAAAATAGGGTGCAGCAATGCTCCGTACACATTTTCACTGGTCACTTTATATGTAAGAGTTTTTTTTTAAAGAAAAATTACTGAAGTTGATTTAAATAAAAATTTAAAAAACACAGAATGTAAATGTTACAATTATGATGATTTATGCCCTTTTGCGATAAAAACACACAACATCATAATACCCCTTCGAATCGATTGTTGGTTGGGGGACTACTAATTATCAAGTTATGGTGGTCCGCGTGTGATTTTAACGCTCTTAAATGAGCGAACCACTGTTATTTTCAAAATATGGGTTACAGGGCAGCAATAATATAACAATAAAGCAACGTGAAAAAAGTAATGAGGCAAACATATAAAAACATGAATTTAAGTAAAAATTTAAAATATACAGAATGTAAATGTCACAATTATGATGATTTATGCCCTTTTGCGATAAAAACACGCAACATCATAATACCCTTTCGAATCAATTATTGGTTGGGA